GGGGCCGCTTGGTCGGGAATTGGAATGGCAGCGAGCCCCCCCGCGACTCTGCAGCGCGGGGACCGAGCCCGCAGCCGCTGTCAAGATTCTCTTGCTCCGTTTAACTCGCGTCAGTGGCGTCATTTGGAACGAGGAGCGCGACGGGCAGAGATTTTAGGAAGCAGAGATTTTAGGAAGCGACCGACGGTCCCCAGGCGAGGAGGCGCGGTGACGGGCTTGCTTTCGTTTTCAGTAGTGATGCCCACATGCCTTTTTAAAAAACAAACAAAACAAACCAGGAGCCAGGCCCAGTGCACCAAGCGCCTTTCTTTAGTTAGGTCACCTGAGCGTTTAAATGCCCGTGGGTGGTAGGTGGCGGCCCATTTTCCCCGACCGGTAACTTGCCCAGAGCCGCAGAGAGGAGCAAGCCTGGGGCTTGACGCCCCCAAAGCCCAGACCTCCCGTGGGCTTTGTCAGGAACGACTTGAAATAGATACTCCCAAGTATAAGGCGGGGAGCTGCGGGGAAAGCTTGTTGCAACACGGAAAGCATTCCCTAACATGTCCTGTTTTTTAAAGGTAGCGTTCAGTTTCACAATGTTTGGGGACCTCTTTGAAGAGGATCATTCCAGTGTATCGGACACTCGGTATGCAAACGGGAAGAAGTTAAAGACCAAAGCGCTGGAGCCACCTGCTCCTAGAGAATTCACCAAGTTAAGCGGAATCAGAAATCAGGGTGGAACCTGCTACCTCAACTCCCTTCTTCAGACCCTGCATTTCACACCCGAGTTCAGAGGTACGCTGCCTTACCTGCGCGTTTCATTAGTAATCTCTAACCCTCCTCTCTACACGGAATTAGGCAAGATTGCAAGGAGACAAAGTATCTTAAAGGTGTATTCTAAAGCATGTTACTGTAACACACAAAGTGGTAATAAATTATCTTATGTATATTCTGTGTAATCATGGTAATGATTAGTAACAAAATAAAAAAAGGGGCAATATTTCTTTTCTACTTCTTGTAATTTAAAAGACAACATAAAGACAGTTTTGTCCTGAGTGCTGGCCTTCATTATTGCTACACTGTTTGTATCTTTGAGTTTTAAAATTAATAAACACATAAAAGTAATAAACACATAAAAGCAGTTATATGCTGCCTTTTGGAATGGGGTGTCAACATTATTTATACAGCCGGTGATTGTTTATCTGCAATTCAGAAAACTCTGACAACCTGATCTGAACTTGTTTGGTGACAGAACCTGACCTGATGTGAGGCCTTTTATAGCCTAGTTATCTCACTTGGGTGAATATTCTTTCATTTCTTACAGGAATATTAATCTCCTTGATTAACGGATACTGTTGTCCTAGACCCCAATGTAATATTAGTATAATGTTAACCCTTTCTTCTTATCACCTTTCTAAAATCTGGAAGTAGGGAATTCCAAAGACCCAAGATGTTAGACATAGGGATTGTGTGCAAGGAACAGAAACCCACTCATATTAGCTCAATTTAAAGGGAGGGTTATTGTAAGAATATAGGGGACTCCCAGAAACGATCGACAGGAAGCCAGCCTGACCTTATTGGACCCTAATTTCTTGCTGCTGTTTCTCTCTACATGTTTGTCCCATTCCCATCTCTGCAGTTTAGCTTCCTCCACAGGAGTCTTCATCTCCACGTTGTCTTGATTTCAGTGCGAACATTACTTTGCCTTCACATGGCCCTGACTGGGCCCCCCTGCTCTCCATGGTTTTGTAGCTCAGCTCTCCACAGTGTCTCCATTTCGGAGGACAGACAGCCTGCTTCATCCTGTATCAACTGCTGCATCCCCTTCCCACCACTGTACATTTATCAAACCTTTGTGACATTTTCTGTTGCTTCTAAGCTAGGAAAGGCTTCCTGCCCCCAGAGATATAGTAAATATTTACCATTATCTCCTCTCCAGGGCCATTCCAGCAGGTTGGGCTGCATGTGGGATTTAAGAGTGGAATCTCTTGTTCCTGATTCCATCCCTTCCATAAAAATCTTTCCCTGATGCATTCGATAATTCCACCATAAGACATTTTCAGCATGGATAAGCAGGGTTCTAGGGGGGTTAGAACTTTTCCAAATTTTAATATAGTTGAAGTTAAAGGGCAACTTGAAGTAGAAAAGTATCCTTAAAAAGACTGAGGCAGGTGTTTGGGGTGGGGCAGGCCATGGCGAATACCATTAAGGATAGGGCTGAGCGTTCCAGGACATCTTCCTCTCATCCCCAGCCAAGCACATGGGTTGACATCTTCATATGGATTGTGCACTCCTTGTAAGGTTTGACATGAATCCCGATGCTTATTGGAGGGGACTTACAATTGGGAAAGAGGAAGGACTGGGGGAGAAAAGTCTTGGAGCTTTTTGGAATCATGTTTTATGGGATAGGGCCAGATTGGGTTCCACTGTACCCCCGGTTCAGTATAGCAGAGAGTAGTGGGAGATGATTGTAAAATTCCTTGTAGTTCATTTTTCCCAGTTTCTCCCAGGAACTCCGGAGGAGCACGACATTCATCACAGTAATCACTGGGCAGCAGTGGTTGCCAGTGGGAGACAACACCCACCCATCCCTTCTCTCCCTGGAGTATATACAAGTTCCCCAGTAGGAGTTCCTATCTAGGTTTGAATACAGGCTTCCCAAGAGATTCAGATATTCCTCCCCTGGGTTGCGTAGGTAGATGCTGTATTATAAAAAAAATTCTGGAGACTGGCACTAGGTTACCAACTTATTTTTTCAGTCGATACCAGTACCGTATGTTACCACCCTCAACACAGGGAAGATATTTACATACCCAAAAAAGAAAGGGCATGGTCTCAGAGTTAAAGGTGGTCCTTCTCAGGAGAGGACAGCTTGCTGTTAATCACATGTGACACTATTACATATTTGTTATATTTCCTAATACTTCTTACGTGGCTCTAGGGACCCATTGCCATAGGCATTAGGAAGCCAGCACAGAATTGCAATGTTACTGTTCTCAGTTTTATATGCATGATTTTCCTTTTCTAGACCTTTCCTGCTGAAACCTTAGCATGCCCTTTGTAGTCAGTGGTTAAAAATAACGTTACCAGAAAGTAAAATGTGTAGAGTAAGGGTATAAATATTTCCGCAACCCCATTTCTGAATTGTTAACTGATTTTACTTACTGGTAGTCTTGGTTTTCTAAAATGAAATGTCATTTACATCTCTGATTCTGCTTTTTTGTTTAGAAGCTTTATTTTCTCTTGGCCCAGAAGAGCTTGGTTCTTTAGAGGACAAGGATGATCCCAGTGCGAAGGTATTAAATCCATGATTCGTGGGGTGGTTGTCTTTGTTTGTTTGTTTGTTTTTGGAGTATTGAGGGAATGTTTTTTAAGGAAGGAATTAAGTTACTTATAGAAATCAATAATCTTATTAATTATGAGATATGATTCTTATTTTCAGAAAGTGACATGGCTTGTACCCTACTTTCTGGTGATGGAATTTTCCTTCCAAAAAACAATTACTTGTGCAGATGTGGTATCGCTGCTGCTCTGCAGACTTGCCTCACTCTACCGTTTTATTCTTTCTTCTCGTGAAGGAAATATTTGCAAACGGTCCATGCTAGCGTAACAGAAACACCACTCAATGCACTTCTTTGCAACAACAACAAATAGATACCTGTATTCTTTCTGTTTGGTATTCTGGAAATAAGCTGAGTGAGGAATTGGTTTCTCATAAGTGCAGATCTGATCGTGTCCCTCCCCTGCCTAAACATCATTCCGAAGTTTGTCGCTTTAAAATTGGTGCTTCTTATGAGGAGTCTCGTGATTTGGCTCAGTGCTCCTCAGACCCCTGTGCAGCAAAGAGCCAGGTTTTATGTTTTGGTGTTTTTTTAAATTCCCAGCCTGTTGCAGATCATACTCCTGTAGGATATAATAAAGATGTTGTGGGAATGTCATGTTGCCATAAAAGTTGCTAAAGTCTGATTCTCACTGTAGATGCTTAAATTTGGTCCCCAGACCAGGTAGGCTCTGAGCAGCATTCTCTGTGAGCCCGGCCGTCACCACCCCGCCATGATGGAGGCATTTTAGAGAAATAATGAACTACTAGAGACTTAAGTTACTATTGGTCTGCAATCAATTGGGTAGTTTATTGAGGTCTCTTTGGGTTTTAATGTTGATCCAAACTATGTCAAGCTAGAAAACTCCAGGCAGCTAAAACAGTTTAGATTGAATTTTCAGAGAAAAATGAATCTTAGAAAATGAATCTTAGCTAGTTCATCTTTGCAATAAGGTATTTGTAAACCTTCTTCTGGGTGAACTGAGTGAACTAGGAGATAGAAGAAAAGTAGTATGCATTTCTGAGAAGCCCAACACATGTTGGAAAGACTCACTTAGAAATGCCTTTGTTCCCATTCAGGTTCGAGTCATACCTCTACAGTTGCAGCGGCTGTTTGCTCAGCTCCTGCTCCTCGACCAGGAAGCTGCCTCCACAGCAGACCTCACTGACAGCTTTGGGTGGACGAGCAATGAGGTATGAAGGTCAGCTTCTCTAGGATACGTTGCCAGCAACAAAGAGTAAATGGGTTTAATATGTTATCTGACTTCTTTAATTTTGCTTTAGGGTCTCAAGATATTATTTAAATGTTTCTCTCATTTTAAATAATTACAAGTCAGAAATATAGTTTTGGATGCTTGCTGTGTGCAGGACTTTATGAATGGTTGTGATTTGGAGTGGGGAGAGGGTCGTGCATACAGGGAAAAGTGAGGAGCTGATTTTTACGATTTATACCCTGAGAATCTTTATATGGATAGTTGAGATACAACACCTATTGCACGGAAATACCATGTCTATAGCAAACTGCTTAATGGGTGTAAAAGCTGCTGAGCAAAGCCCTTCCGCCTCTGTGACATGCTCTTGTACTTGAGCCTAGCTATTCTGATTTGAACGCTTGCTTGTAGCAGCACGGTGAACCCATCCTTGGCAGAGCCTTTCATTTTCCCTGCCCTGCCTTTCCCCTGACTCTCTTCATTGTCTTCCTGTGTCCTAGTGTAAGACTTTCTCTCCTTTTTCTCTTTGTGTCCATCAAACACAAAACATTTGTCAGCAGCAAGTAAAGGTGCTTATTGTCAATAAGCTGTTAGCTGTATAAAATCAAACAAAACCAAGTCCACAATTTTTTATGGATTAGATGTATCCTTGCAGAGACACAGGTATGGGAGACTGTCACAGAATTTAAAGAGGCAGTGATCAGAATAATGTTATATTGCCTTTAGCAGTAAACTCTGAACTGTGGTCTTCCTCTAACAGGAACGCTCCTTAACTAGAGGATACATTGAGGTCAGAGAGGTGGGGCTGGGCTTTGAGGTTCGTGGGTGATAATGTATTCCCTGGGCAGTGTTAAATTTCTGGCATAAGGCAGGTGCTTAGGGGTACTTTCTTTTTCTTTGTTTGTTTTAAAAATAACGGCTTTAGTGAAATATAAGTCACACAAGATTTACTCTTTCAGAGGGCACAATTCAGTGGTTTTTTAAAATATATTCACAGAATTGTAAAACCATCACTACAATCAGTTCTAGAGCCTTTGCCTACTCCTAACCCTTTCCCCTCAACCCCTGGCAGCCACCAGTCTGCTTCCATCTCTGTGGACTTTCCTGTTCTGCACTTCCCACAGAAACAGAATCATGTAGTATGTATCACTTCATTCCTTTTTATTACCAAGTAATATTCTTTTGGATGGATATGTACAGGTTTGTTTGTCTAATGTAGTTATCAGTTGATGGATTTCCCTGTTTTTGGATAATGAGCTTCCACTCATTGGTTGGTATCATACTTCTTAAAGCTATAAAAACCTTATTTCTAAATAAAACTTGCAGGAAACCCTGTAGGACTGGACCTGCAGTGGCAGACAGGGTCTCTGAGACACTTTTGGCAAACTTAGGATTGTTCAGAAACAGAGCTTGAAAACTTCCACAAACTTTCTGTCCCATCAGAGCCGGTGATACTGAAGAAATGTATGTCCTCTGTGTCTTGTGTGTGAAGGAAGGAAGGCAGGAAGGGGAGGGAGGGAGGGGGGGACAGATCCTGATTCCCACATCTTGCTCCAGCTTTTATCCACTTTGTCAGCTTCTCTTCACATGAAATTGTAAAACTGTCTTCCTCCACTGCCTCTACTTCTGCACCTTCCCCTTGTTCCTCTACCTCCCTTCTACCTTTCTTGTCAAAGTCACTCATGACATCCACGTGTCAAATTCAGGAGACACTTCCTGCTCTCAGGGGCTCTTAGTATAAGCACTCACCCCCCTTCTTAAAGCACCAGCCCCTCCTTAAAGCACCAGCCGCTCCTTCCCCACTGCTTCTTAGAGACCTAGCTCTCCAGGGTCTCCGAGCAGCTGGCAGCTGCTCCTCCAGCTCCTGCGCTGCTCCTCCCCCTTTCCCCTTGGCCTCAGTTTATGGATTGTTCTGAAGGAGTAGCTCAGTCTATTAACACACAGCATCATGACTCAGTAGATGAAAGCAAGTTCCACTGGAATCTTCCTCAGCAGCCCTGTGCTAGTGTTGTTTTAGGTGGTCTGTATGTCAAAGCAGTAAACTTTTCAAATGTTGATAACTCGGCCCGTTCACCAGTCCCTCTGCCTGAGAGCGGTCGCTGTGCATCCACGGCCAGTTTTCAGAGAGACGCTCTGTGCCTGCTGCGGTCCTTCCTGCACTCCTTTCTGTGGCGGTGTGCTCTGTTTCCACACAAGCAAATGTGCTTGCTGCATTTCAGGTGTGTGGAGTGACGTGTACACGCTGAACACCACCTGCCCATATTTTCGTTTCGTATAAAAATAAGAATAGATGGTGAGCTCTTAGCCTGTTCTCAGCTCGTTTAGACTAGTCATCATTACATTTGATTGAGGCTCACCTTTGGATTTCTTGATATATCCTGTGCTTTTTAACTAATATCACTTTTTAAATCTGATTTAAAAAACCTGAAGCACAGAATAACATTTACGTTTCCTGTGTCACAGGAAATGCGGCAGCAGGACGTGCAGGAGCTGAACCGCGTTCTCTTCAGCGCCCTGGAGGCCTCCTTAGTCGGGACCTCCGGCCACGACCTCGTCCACCGTCTGTATCATGGAACCATTGTTCACCAGGTTGTCTGTAAGGAGTGTAAGACCGTCAGTGACAAGCAGGTGAATACACAGGAGTGTTTTAGTAATAAACCGTATCTTTAAGAATAACGCATGCAGTTCAACCTACACCCTGTGGTACCACATGAGGGCTGAAGTGTTTGTTACTAGACAGCACTTTGCTGATTTTTTCTTTTACTCTAGCTACACCTAAGTCATAAGCTTATGACCCAGACTTCTCCATAAACCAAAAGAAGCAAATGTCCTAAAACATAACTTTGATGTTTTATTCAGTACTCTGACAGTTAGAAAATGGAGTTGGGATATTTACAAGTAGAAGTCAGTGGCCTCTCGGGGAAAGTGACTTCATTATGCTTGGTGACTGGAAAATTATCAAGTTATTTAGGGAAGTAATAAAAATAGAGAATTGACAAACATCTGTAATTAAATATTGGATTTAGTTTATTGATGTCTTCGAGAAAGTTCCTTTGTACATGTGTGCTTATGTTTAAATATTATATGTGTTATATATATAAAACTACATAAAGCCATTCCAATCGTGTTTAAACAGAGTAACCTTCAGTCCTTTGTTATGACATGGGTTCCCCATGTAATCCAATTGGAAATTTGCTCATGTAAATAGAATCACCTCCACTTGCTTGACCGGCCTCAGCGCAAATAATCTCACCCAAGCACTTGTCCTTTATCACAGATCTCTTTTGGGGGCAGGAGTTACAGAAGGCTCTGCACTTGATAGTATGAGTGAAAATTAAATGCTACTTTCTAAATGTTTCATTAATTGCTTTTTTGGGATAGATATTTTTTCTCTTTCTCTATTTTTTATGAGCATTGGGGATAAAAGATACTTTCTGACCCTTATTGCTTGTGCTAACAGGTTTGACCAGCCTGATTTGGAAATATTAAGATGTTGTATGTCTTTGAATTACTGTATGATGACTTAACTATAATAATAATTCACAAACTAATTTCAAACGATTTTGTATGTTAAGGCACATGATAAATTATAGAAATCAACTTTTCACATACATATAAAATATATATAAATGTTATTTTTATTACTTTAGATTTCCACCATGAAGTGATTAGTACTGTTATTTTACAGTCCTCATAACCCTTTTAATGCTATTAAAACTAAATATTCTTTAAACTTGTCAGATTTTAAGCATTTATTGCTAGAGACATGTTGTAATTCAAATGTAGTTATAATAGAATTTATAGACTCCCGTTTTGCAAAATACCCTCTTCTTAATTTTTATAAGAATACCTTTTTGTCCTGGCTCAGAATAACTTTTCTCTTATACCTTCCTCAGTAGTCTTAAACCAGCCCTGGCGGAAGCAGATGAGGAAGCAGAGTTTCATTGGAGCATTCAGCCCTGCTCTCGCTGTCCTGGTCTAGAGACTCAGACAGCACGAGTAAGCCCTGCACGTACACACTGCTCAGTTCAGATGTGTGGTCGTCGTTTGTTTTAGTGCCTGATAAAATAGGTTTTATTGTATCTACAGTGAACTCATAAACTAGTTCCTGATATACTTTAAGCTCAGTTATAGTTTTTTTAGAAAAGATAATTTGGTTATGAATTTCATGGTATCTGATCAGGAGGAGATCTATACCTTCGTATGTACAATGTTTTAGGAAAAATATATCTGATTATTACCAATATGTATATGAGTTGGTGATGTGTATGTGAACCTCTGTGAAGTTGTTTTTTCGGTATTATATTTATGTGTATTTCAGGAAGACTTCTTAGATCTAACAGTAGCTGTCAAAAATGTATCAGGTTTGGAAGATGCCCTCTGGAACATGTATGTAGAAGAGGAAGTTTTTGACTGTGACAACTTATACCACTGTGGCACCTGTGACAGGCTGGTGAAAGCAGCAAAGGTAAAGACAGACACTGCTTTTCCTTAGGGTGCCCACTGAGTACTGTAACAGGGGGTCTGTCACGTGAAGTCAGCTTGTTTGAAATAGTCTGGATTTTACATGAAGCTGTAATACTAAGGACTGAAAAGACATTTACGTGGTACATACCTGTATTTTAATTTTTTGTAGTAAAGAATTTTTTAAGTTTTCAATCCAGTAGTTCTCTCAACTTCTTTTTTCCCCCAGGAAAAATGTATTTGTACCTCAGTGTTAAATATACCTTTTATCGATAAACTTCCCACCATCCCTGCTTTTTGCAAATTACCATCATAAAGAAGGCAGTATGTTTTTATTTCTGCTAGCCAAGAAGTTTGTTGAGCTTCCCTTCCTTTGTCTACTACTGTGAAAACAGATGGCTTTCTTTACTTGCTGCATACGCAGTTATCTACAGTATCAGTATATGTATACATCTCCTCCCTGACCCCAGCGGATCTAATATGCCCTTTCTTCCTCCTGCAGTTGGAGCAAGCAGTACTTAACTTGCTAATTAAAGGGCTTGACAGTACTTCTGGGTTTCTTTCTGTACAGCAAAGCAAAATATAGGGTGAAAGGAGGGCAAGATGTAAGCAATGATTTTTTCTGCAATATACATCAACTTGCCTGCTGTCATTGTTATCTGCAGTGATCTCTGTTCCACTGCTGGTGGATGGTGGTGTGGGCTCTTCCTACGTGATGAACTTGAGCCCGAGTCACTGAGTGGTTGTTGAGCACTCACTGAAAAAACTACCACAAGAGACATATCTTTGCAGTTACTTTCAGTTACTTTCTCATAATAAAGAGATAATACTATCCCTACAGCTGACGGTGACTGAATTTTCTAACAAAGAAAATGAGAAATCATTTAGATAACACACAGTATTGATTTGGATCCTAGCCATTATAGGTGAAAATGTACTAAAAACAATAAACCCCATGCCTATAGCTTTCACGATAGGATTTGAGACCAGGGCAGATGTTATATTGCTTAGTCCATATTTTTACCCAGCCTTTGCCCCTTTAGGAAACCCAAATAGAGAAGTTTATATTTTGCTTATTTAGTTTGGCATTGCAACTACAACCTAACAAAATAAATACAAAGTTCAGAGGATTAGCACATTAGTAAAACAAGAACCTTTTGCTAAACAAAAGCAGTTCTTTTATGCACCTTCTATGTCATTGGTTAATTCTTTTTCAGTGAAGATGTTTTGATTTTGATACTTTTAAAATTACATTGTATTCTAGTTTCATGAGATTTATTGCATTCTAAATTCAGGTTTAGGTGTACTACCTAAATTAATGCAGATTTTCTTGTTCTGAGCAGTCTCAGCCACATTGTAGTGGAGTAGTTTTTTTTAGATGTATTTTTTTGAGCTTGTTTGAAAATCTGCCATGTGTTTAAATTGTTGTTTTACCATTTAACTTTTTTTTATTATCCTCTTGACTTGGATTGTTGTTTTAAATATATTTTTAGGAATGTTAGTTATGATTTTGGATAATTTTATACATGGTGAAGGATTTTTTGCCCCCCCCCCCATGCCATTAGTGCAAGGGAGTCAGGAAAAGCTGATCACTTTTTTATTTTTAATTGATTTGAGAGAGAGAGAGGAAAAGGGAGAGAAAGAAAAACATCCACTTATTTATGGATTCATTGGTTGCCTCTTGATGTGCCCTGACTAGAGACTGAACCATAACCTTGGCATATTGGGATGACGCTCTACCAACTGAGCTACCCGGCCAGAGCTAGAAGCTGAAGACTTTTAAATAAAAAGCAGCTTAATTGTGTGTTTTGTTTTAAAACAAGAAATTTTTAAAAACCTTCTTAGCTGCTTTTAAGAATAGTAACTAACTGTATAACCCCAGTTAGTAGATCTTAACATAAGGGGAGTTAGAGCTTTTTTGGAAGTCTAATGAAAGCTATGGATCTTCTCAGAAAAATACATAAACATGTTAGATTTTTATATAATTTCAAGGGTCCAGCTCCAGCTCTAGTTCTTCAATAAATAAAAGGGAGAAGGTGAATGGCTAGGACTCAGGCTGGAAAGAAATAGAAAGGGGAACCCACTCCTCAGATAGCTTTGATTTTAGGGTATGAACACTGGAAACATGAAATTGGGTTACAAATTTTAGTCATAAGCATAATGAATGATGGCACCTTTAGTCCCATAAAATAGATGAGTTTATATGAAGGGCTATAGTCTATCATGATGAATTTGTGATTTAAGGACATATTGCTCTTAAAATTGTGTTGTAACTTGCTTTTTTATATGTTAAGAAACATGTATTCTTTTATATAACTGCTTTTTAAAAACTTAAAAAATTTTTCTTTTAACAGTCGGCCAAATTACGTAAGCTGCCTCCCTTTCTTACTGTTTCATTGTTAAGATTTAATTTTGATTTTGTGAAGTGTGAACGATACAAGGAAACTAGCTGTTATACATTCCCTCTCCGGATCAATCTCAAGCCTTTTTGTGAACAGGTTTGAACTCTTTTATTTTTAAATTCTTTTTTTTTCCCCTCTCAAGATTAAATCCTTAATTGACCTGGCGTTCAGTTGGCTTATTGCAGAATCTCAGCCGTGGCACTCGCTATCCCATGCATTGTGGGATGTGAGGCAGCAGCAGCATTCTCCCCAGTAATGGCAAAAACGTCTTCAGACCTTGTCAGACCTTGTCTTCTGGGGGTAAAATCACTCCCAGCCCAGAACCCTGGTTTATTATAGTCCTTCTGAATTTCCAAAGGATGGCTTTGTTCTCAGTTCTTTTTATTAAACTCTCTTCAAAAATCTTTGAAATGAAAATTTAAGAGCAAAATTAGAAATGACCTCACATTAGAAAAAATTACCATTAATTGGCACTTTCTGTTTGGATTTAGCTTACTTTAGATGCAGTAATGAATTACACATCTAGAAAGTGAGCAGGTCATTGGAACTTCACTAGCCTGGAATTTGTAACATTTAAGACATGGGCAAGAAAGAGTTTGAAAACGACTGTATTACATAATCAATCTACTTTATAAGCCATTTAAAAATATTTTCTATATAATTGCTACACATGCCAAGATCACAGTGATGAGACTGGTGTATTTCTTATTACAAATCATTCTTTATAGGTTTATTAAAACCAGAGCGTGTATTAGCTAGCTATTGAATTTCTATGTTTGAAATTAATTTTTTTAATATTCTTAAATTTAGATGGGCCTTCCACTACTTCAAACCTAATTACTGAGCTTTTTGGATGTTGTTTTATTATATTACCATTCAAAGGTTGTAATTTTGTTTTGGCCCTGAGCTTGTGATTGGCACACACAGAATAGTTTTTCCAGAGTAAGTCAATATACTTGCCCCTCCCTCTATTTTTACTGCCTGAAAAAAATTTCTTTTTCAGGATAATTGAGTTAATTCTTTTTTTGCTCCAGTTTTATTGAGAAATAATTGACATACATCACTTTGTAAGTTTAAGGTGTCCCGCATGATGGCTCGATTTACATGTGTTGTGAAATGATTTCCACAGTAGGTATAGTTAACATCTGTCGCCTCACATGGGAATACTTCTGTCCTTTTATAAAAAGCAGCTTGTCAAACGATTTTAACTTACTTTGAAATAACAACACTGAAATAAGTAAAACATTGAGCACTTATCTGAGAAATTCATGATGATATTTCTTTTTGATATCTGTAGTAATGAAAAAAATCACTCCTCATCTTTGTTTTTCTCTATCTTTTGCCTAAACAGACATTTTTAAAAATGCTGCTTACCTTAAAAGTATAATTTTTTAAGCAAGGAAGTTTCTCAAATAATTGGCACCTTTTTCAAGTAGCATCCACAGTGTAGGTGTTCATCTGTTGGGTCAGTCATATTATAGAGCACATTAATTATGGGAAAGTTTGATCATAGAATTAATAAATAAATAAACCTTTTCATTCCACTAAACTGCCTCTAAACAAAAACAGCTAGTATTCATAATTGCTCAATTCCTCTTATATGCAGAGGACCAACGTGTCAGGAGCGGTGACAGTAGATACAGCTTTGACTTTGAGACATGTGACAAATCTAGTTGGAATATAGGGAAAATACAGCAGCTACAGACCACATTTATAAAATAGCAAAATAGGTGTCACACACAGATAGGTTTGCCGAAACTCACAGGCTCACCAATGGGCACTTGGTTATCACATTGGCTCACGCGATCCTAACCAAAGTGCATAAAAAGAGCATCTTGTTTGGGTATGTGCTTTCCTATTTAAGCAAGACACAGAATTTAGTTGGTGTAGCATGTTTGGTATTGTGTCAGTGATAGATAATCTACCTGAGAATGAAGAATTTTAAAATTTAAAATGAATTATTCAAATTTATCTTAATTTACCCTTAAAAAACAATAATAAACAGTGAAATTTTTATTGATTTCAGTAGTTAAAATTCTCTTTCCCTTTGGTTATGTATCTTACCACTTTGTGTAAACTACATCAATGTTTATGTTCTTTTCTCTTGTAGAGTGAGCTGGATGACTTGGAATACATGTATGACCTCTTCTCGGTTATTATACACAAAGGCGGTTGCTATGGAGGACACTATCATGTGTACATTAAAGATATCGATCATTTGGGAAACTGGCAATTTCAAGTGAGCACAGATATTAGTTTAGAAGGGTCTTTGAAATTGTTTTCCTTTTCTAGTCCTGTTATTTGGTGAGGATAATCTTTTGCCATTTATTATATATTCACTCTGTAGAATACTTTTATAGGCGCTGAAAGTTAGTATCAATAGAAGTTTTAAATTTTTATTTCCAAGTAATTTCACACAGAAACATAACTAGCATAGTACAAGCACCACCTGTATACTCTTTACCTAGATTCTCCAATTAACATTTTGCCACATTTGTGCAAGCATACACTCTCTGTTTGTGCATGCGTCCGCGTGCGCGCACACACACACACACAGTTAACATGAGTATTATTAGTGCTGAGCCATTTGAAGTTAAGTTTACCCCTAAATATGTCAGTGCTTGTCATGTGAAAACAAGGACATTTCCTTACATAAGCGGAGATCAAAATCAGGAACTTCAGCATTGATATATTCTTATCTAACACATAGTTTATATTCAGATTTCACCAGTTGTCTGATCCAAATATTTTATAGCGTTTTCTTCCCCACTTTAGCATCTAGTCCAGGATCACGGATTACAATTTAGTTAGCGTACCGCTTAAATCCTTTAATCAGTAATCGTTCCTCAGCTTATCTTCTATCTTTCCTGGCACCAAACAAAGACGATGAAGATTTTCCTCCTATGTTGTCTTCTAAAAGTTTGTGGGGTTTTTTGTTTTTGTTTTTTATTTTTTTAATTTATATAAAATGATATAGGTTTCATGTGTATAGTTCTATAATACATCATCTGTGTATTGCGTGTTTACTGCCCCAAGTTAAAAGTTGGGTTTTCATTTACATTTAAAACTTCACTCTTCCTGGAATGATCTCTGAATGGTGTGAGATCTTTTTTTTCCCATTTGGGTGCCCAACTGCCCATTACCACTTATTAACAATCTATTTTTTACCCTGCAATCTAGAATGCCATTTCTGTTATATCAATTGTTTATTTGTGTGAATCCATTTTGGGGCACCCTTCTGTGCCATTTTTCTTTCTTCGATTCCTAGGCAAATACCACATTGTAAATTTCTGTAGCCTTTAAAAGCAATCGTGACACATGGCAGAGCAGGCCTCCCTATGTGTTGTTATTGTGCAGGAGTGTCGTGTGGGTCCCTGCTTTTTATGCTTCTGTGAGCACTCCTAGAATCGGCTTGTCTGCATTCTCCCGCACGCTTAGGGGAGGTTTTAACCTACATATGAAAATGATATATCTTTTCATTGTTTAGAGCTTCTTTAACATTTTATGAAAAAGTTTTGTAGTGGTCTCAAGAAAAGAACTTGCAGATGTTCTGAGGAAAAGCCCAAACTGAGAATCTAGTTCCAATTATTTCCAGTGGGAAAAATTACAATGTATTACCCATCAACCCCAGACTCTCCACCAGTTTTTTAAATGTAACTAAAACACAGTAAAATGTCAAAATGTAAAATTCAAGCCATTATGTTAGGATGTAGAATTAATGAATAGTTGCTCTACCTGTAGTAATATGGCTTCTGTTGGAGCTGAGTGGGAAAATGTTGAAACTCTCTGTGTGTACTGTGCTAGAAGCTTTCTTTATCTCTCAATCCTAATTGGTAGGTGAGGCCAGAGAGGTGAAAATAGCTTGTCTAGGATTATTCAGCCAAAACTTGAATTCAAAGCCGTATGCAAATCACATTGTTTCCATCGTCATTTCTTGATCTTGAAGCCTCCATAGCATAAACATTCCTATTTTGTTAATTAGTTTTTAAGGGATTGGTGATAGAAATTTTTTTTTACATATTTTAAAAAAATTTTATTTTTTTCAGTTTTAGTTTGTAGTCAATATTATTTTGTATTAGTTTCAGATGTACAGCATAGTGGTTAGACAGTCATATACTTTACAAAGTGTTTCCCTTGTGATAGAAACTTTTTTATTGTTTTCTTTCCCAGGAGGAAAAATGTAAAGCAGATGTGAAGTTGAAAGATCTTCAGAATGAAGGCAAGATTGATGATCCACTGGTGATTTTAAAAGCAATCTTATCACAGGTAGAGAGTGTTTGTGTGTGTGTGTGTATATATATATCAGATACAGATAAATGAGATTGATTTGGTAGATCTGATATTCTTCCTTGGAACAACATTATGTCTATTTTTAAACTTTTTTTTTTTATTGGAAACTTTCTGGTTCTAAAAGAAATACATAGTCATGGTAGAAAACTTGAGAGAGAAAAGAAAACTAGAAAATAGATAAGAAAATAAAAAGTGTAAAACCAGCCCCGGCCAGTTTTGCTCAGTGGTTAGAGCGTTGGCCTGTGGACTGAAGGGTCCCCAGTTCGATTCTGACCAAGGGCATGTACCTCATTTGTAGGCTCCATCCCCTGCCCTGGTCAGGGCGCGTGCAGGAGGAAGCCAATTGATGGGAGTCTCTCAGATTGTTTCTCTTTCTCTCCCTCCCACTCTCTCTGAAAAGCAAGGGAAAAAATATCCTCAGGTGAGGATTTGAAAAAATTGTAAAACCAAATGCTCAGCCATTAACACTTAGACATACATTCTTTGCATTCTGGTTTTTGTGTGTCTATACACATATATTGGGATTGGGTTATGGGTCTCTTTGGAATTATTGTTGTCATTTTAGACAGGTTTGGGGTTTACTTTACATGCTGTTTTAGGATTTGCTGTTTCCTGTATTGTCCTTTAATGTTTGTAGGACCTGAAGTCATGTGCCCTTTTTCATGCCTCCTATTGGTAACACCTCACATAGATGACTTTTAATATTTGCTTAGTACCCTGTTATAATGATGGTAGATCTCCTTTCATTTCTTCATTCATTCTTAAACAGTTTTTTATAATTCCTTACTGGGACCTAGGCTCAGTTCTTTAACTATATTGGTCCATGGCCACTGTCTTAGTCTACTAGGGTTGTCATAACAAAATACCACAGACTCTGTTGCTTAAAGCAATAGAAATTTATTTTCTCACCATTCTGGAGACGGCTAGGAGTCCAAGATCAAGGTGTTGGCAGGTTTGGTTTCTCCTGAGGCCTCTCTCCTTGGCTTGTAGATTTTGCTGCCTCACTGTGTCCCATAGGCCTCTCCTGCGCATGTGCATCTCTGGTGTCTGTGTGTGTGCCCAGAGTTCCTCTTAGGGACACCAGTCAGATTGCATGAGGACCCACCCTCATGGTCTCATTTTAACTTCTTTAAAATCCCTATCCAAAATTCATCACAGTTGAAATTTTGAGGGTTAGGGATTCAATATAGAAGGGTATGGGGGGGGGGAGGCACATTACATCCTGTAACACTCACTTCTTACCCCCTGTTAGAACTTGTTTATACATTGAAACATTCAGAAAAGACGTTAATAGTCCTTTTTTTGCACTTAAATATTTCTTCTAAAGATCCCACATAGTATCAGAAATTTACTAAATAAACCTCAGGAAACTCTTCGGATGTTGCTCTTTGAATATTCAAACTTTGGCACATGGAAAGTGGCAAAATTCAGGTTTTTTAAACTGATGCTTAATGTTCTTTTTAAAAATCATTTTATTTTGAAGTAATTATGGTTAATCAATTTACTTACATGTTTGCTGTTAGAGGTATGTTTAATTAGATACAATCTTGTTGTCCCTTTGAACTCATTAGTGTTGCCCTTATATCTCATCAGATTTTCTTAAATGACTGTGTTTCTTTCACAAGGAGGACAGTAATCTAATTCCTGTTGATCAGCTGGGCCAGAAACTTTTGAAAAAGATAGGAGTATCTTGGAACAAGAAGTTCAGGAAACAGTGTGGACCACTGCGCAAGGTAACACGTGTTCTTAGAGAACGCCCTTTCCCAGGAAATCTTACTATGGTCTTGGCAGTGTGAATGCCTTTGCAGAAGGAAATTTAAGTTAGGTGAAAATAAAATCAATATTTTTGCTTAATGGTTAGAATTCAGTTAAGTTACTTATTAAGTATTTAAGTAATTTATCATAGAATCAAGAAGCAAAAGAAGAGGGGAGGGCTTTTAATCACAACAGCAAAAAAAATGTCACAAATTTCATACCCTAAAACTAACCATTTTACTTATAGAAATGTCTTGAGGTATGCACCCCAATTCCACTTGATCTTTTTTTTACACACAGTTCTAGTAAGCTTGGTGATCTGGTTTCCTAGGCTGTAAGATCAGGTGCAAAAACTGATGCTGCCAGAAATAAGAGATAACTCAACTGAAAACAAGCAGAGCAACAGAACACTTAGTAAGCATTTTGGAGCCGTTTCTTACAGGAGCAAAGAGCTTATGCACTTCAGTAGGTGTTTAAGTGCATCTTTTAATTAGATACAGTTGACGAATGTAGTTTAATGACCCTGAATAGAAGGTTTTAAGATTTTTATTTAAAACAATTTAATCAGTGTTTCAGTATTTTATTTTTAAGGATATCAGCTGTGCAGGTTTTAAAAAATATGTAAATAGTCTTTATAAGCTTGAGGAAGTTAGCTGTCATTCATACTTGATTGATAGTTTCATCTGGGGGTTGGATTTTTATCAAATGCTGTTTGTTTTATATATGTCGATATGATCACAAGGTTTTACTCTTTTATTCTGTTAATATGGTGAATTCTGTTGACTGATCTTTTTAATGTTAATCAGGTCTTACATTTCTGGGTTAAATCACTTGGTCGTAATATGTTTTCATGTGTTGCTTCATTCATTTGGCTCATGGTGAGGACTTTGTGTCTATGTTTATGAGAAATACCCATCTTTAATTTTCTTTTCTTGTAACGTTTGTTAGATTTTAGTATGAGGGTTATGCAGGACTTATAAAACACGTTGGGAAATATTCCCTTTTTTATGTTCTTGAAAAGAATTTATCTAAGATTAGTTATTATTCCTTAACTATTTGGAAGCTATTTAGACCTGGGACTTCTTTGTAGTATGGTTTTAAAATTATATTTTTAATTTCCTTGATTGTAGTTGTTTAGGTTTTCTATCCTCTCATTATTTGGGAAAATTATATTTTTAAAGGAATTTGCCCTTTTATCTATGGTGTCAATTTTATTGGCATAAAATTGTTCAAACTGTCCCATGTTGGCCTTTTTTAGTGTCTGTAGGACTTGAAGTTATTTTCTCTTTTTTATTCCTGATATTAATAATTTGTATTTTCTCACTTTTTTCCATCAGTCTTGCTAGGAGCTTATCAAGTGTATTAAACTTGCCTAAAAACAAACTTTTGCATCTGATTTTCCCTACTGCTCATCTGTTTTCTGTTTCATTGACTTCTGCTCTTTAATTACTTCTTTCCAACTCTGGGATTTAACTCGATCATCTTTTTTCTGGCTTGTTGGGTTGGTGTCTCACCTGTTTTTAAACCTTTTAACATCTGCTTTTTTATGTGTGTGGAAAACTGTTTATTGACTTGCTCAATATAATACCCAATATTGAATATTCAAAATAAAACGTGATATAAATGTCACTGCTGCAGTTACCACAATAATTCTTGTTTTCATTAAAGTTTGTTGATAAATTTTTGTGAAGTCTGTATTCTTGATCAGTGCTTAGGAAGTAGGTGGCATGAGCGGGGTGAGTGGAGATAGTATGTGAGGACCTGGTGAGCTGGGCCTACGTAACTGGGACTTACTTAGTCACCTCCCTCCTATTACTCAGTATATAATACTCTGTATGCACACTGAGAAGGCTAAATGAATGTACAGACTCCCTAAGCGTCCAGCAAGTGCAGTGGCCTGAAGTCCATCTTCATTTCTGGGTTTTATTCACAAAGTAAGTTGAAGTCTCAGGTGTTGGGGAGTACACCTTCCTTGAGGAACAAAGCATTAGGTTCTTATGGAAAATAGGCTCCACTAGCAGCTTCATCTCTCAGCTCAGCCTTGAGGAGAATGGGTTTTTGTGGTTCAACACATACTTTTAAAGCTATAAATTCCTTCTGATCACTAATTTAGTGGCAACTAAAATTGACGTTTTCTTTATCATTTCAAAATATTTTGTAATTTCCTTGTGATTCTTTCCTTGACCCATGAGTATTTTCGGAGATGTCTAGTTATCTTTTTGTTACATCTATAAATTGATTTCTAATTAATTCCCCTGTGCTTTGAGAACATGCTCTCTGTGATTTTAGTTCTTTTGAATTTATTGAGACTTTGCTTGAACTCTCCTCACTCCGCACTGATGCAAACTGAACAGGGGATTAATGTAGAACTCACCTAGTTTGCCTCTCTTTTTTGAAGGGTTCTGTTTCCCCACTTTGTGTCTGCTTCTGGTTACTCTGCAAACAGTTGTTTTCGTTATTTTGTTTAGAGTTTATCATTTTTATTGGGAGGGTTCAGTAAAAATTCTCTGCCACTAGGAGCAGACTGCACTGAAGTTTGAGGCTTAAAAGAGTTAATCTCAACGATCAAAGTAAAAGTTGGCTATTCAGAAAGTTCAGTACTCGAAGGTTTCAAATTGTTGATATTTTATTGTACCAGTTACCTACAAAACTATTTTACCATCTGCTACACACCGTGTTAATAATACTGTCTTTTTGTCATATGCCCTATGCCCTTCTGTTTGTGATAAAATAATACTTCAGATTAGAGAGTTGGTATTACCACAGGTTATTTCTTTCCAAGAGAGGCTGTTCACCTTTCCATAATGATTGATGAGCTCAGTGAATGTTATCTGTACCTGCCGAGCGATTTCCTATAGAAGGTAACTGTGCTGAGAGAAGAGGAGCCACAAGGCTGCACAGAGATGAGGGAATGAGAGAAGAGGAGTGGGGAGGGAGAGGTGGGACAGGCAGTGGGGAGAGAACATTGTTGCTGTCCCTCATTCTTCAGCTGGAAGGACCTGAGAAATGGTCTTTGGGGTTATATGACTTAAGCCTTTCTATGCTTTGATTTCCTGAGCTAGCTTGTCAGCTTCCAGAACAGAAACATTCAATTTAGTTCATGTTAAACAATAATTTAGGCTTTTAATTACTCCCTTATCCCAGCAGAGCTGTTCCGAGTCTCTGGTTTCGAGATTACCTCCTCCGAGGTCGCTGCGCGAGCCTCTGTTCTGTTCTGTGCTTGCTGAGATTGCTTTAGCCCTTCAGAACTGCTTGTTCTTCCTAACCTGTTTCCGTAAAGTACTTTGTAAAGTGAGTTTTGAGGTATAATTAAAATAGTTTTAGATTGTGGCATGACAACTTTCTTTCTTGATATAATTGTTAGACTGTTTAACAGAGAGAATGCTGATTTTTATTAGATGTTTTATTATGGCCCAAAGGGCCTAGCTGGCCAGTCCAAAAATAAAGGTGAAGTTAAAATATCTAATCACAGAAAGAAAGATGAAGGTTTTTAAAATCATTTCTGATTTTTTTAAAAATTTTTGTTAACCTAGTATCTGTTCTTTGTTTCTGTTTAGTTCCTTCAGCTTCATTCTCAGATATTTCTGCTCAGTTCAGATGAAAGTACGGTCAGTCTGCGGAAGAACTGCCCTCTGCAGGCTGAGTCCAGTTTCCAAAGGAAGGGTCAACAAATTTTTGAGACACTTACTTCAGAATCCCCAGGATTAAATGATGAAACTTCCTGTCCCCACTGGTTTGATATCAATGACTCCAAAGTCCAACCCATTGAGGAGAAGGCTATTGAACAGCAGTTTCAGGGCAAAGAGAGCGCCTACATGTTGTTTTACCGGAAATCCCAGCTGCAGAGACCCCCTGAAGGTATAGAAAGAAAAATGTTCCTATTTTTTTAAGTTGATGACTTTAAAAGACAAATGCTATTTGTATAGATACCCTTTGAAAAGGAGGTTTACTCATTTAAAAAATATTTTGAAGCTAACAGTAAGAAATACATGATGCCAAAAGAATCCAACAATCTGTCACTTTTTAAGGTCCTATATTTGTATTTCACTTTTCTCCTCTCAGGAGAAAGAGGCCATAGTCAGATTTTCAGAGTTAGGTTTTCTTGAATCGCATGCTGTGGGCAGATCTGAGTGGGTGCCCTGTCCTCAGGTGTGGCTCTGTCATGTGGCCAAGTGTTGCCTTTGAGTTGTAAGTGACCTTGGTCTCATTTTCATATATCCACTTTATTTTCCTGTCTTGTTTCTTTTCCTCAAGGTCATGTGTTCTCTGAGCAACTGAAATATCTTTGAAGTGTTTTTTATTGAACCTTCTAAGAGGGCTCAGACCAAGGAGGTTAAACATTGAGACCCACAATGATACATTTTTAATTGAAGCCACTAACACGAGCCACTAACACCTGATCACTTCCCGTGGTCTGCTCCAATGTGAAAGTCCTAGCTAGGAGACTCTACAGATTGAGACGCATCTGTGAGGAGAGCTGTCGTCCAAGAATGAGAACAGTGATCATTTTTATAAAGAATAAGAGCAAAGCAGTTAATGTGCATATCAGTCAAGGGAAATTAACTTTCTGGATCCGAAACAGTTACATAACTATTCTATTAACCAGAAAGGGCTTTGCATTTTTCTGAGGGGGAAAAGATATGGTAATGGTTCTGATACATATATTGTGGAGCAGAATTCACAGTTATAAAAATATATATTAACAGAAAAAGACTGTCTTCATATGGAGTATTGTCTTTTTCACTAAATTGAACTTTAGTATGTACATAATTGGAATGTGTACTAAATGACTGTTTTCTCATTAGCTCAGGAATTGAATAAAGGTCCAGCCAAAATTTTGATGGACTTTGTTGGGGGATGAAGGAATGAACTTGACAAAGTAATTCTAAAATTTATGTAGAGCAGTGGTGGGGAACCTTTGTTCTCCCGAGAGCCATTTGGATATTTATAACATCACTCACGGGCCATACAAAATTATCAATTTAAAAATTAGCCTGCTCTATTTGGTCAAACATTTAATTAACACACCCCTAATGTGATGGCTGGAACTGCTTCTCTTTGGTGAGGCCTTGGTAGGGCCAGACCAAATGATTCCTCAGGCCTTATACAGCCTGCAAGCCCAACGTTCCCCACCCCTTACAGAGAGAGAAATTGATGAAAACTGAAGGGAGGGGCTACTGAAGGAAAATTTGCTTTCAGTAAAAACATACTTACAAAGTTATGATTGTATTAATCACTACTTAAAATTATATTAATCAATGGAATGAAATTATAGTTCTTTCAATGTTTATGCAATAAAGGAACCTTGAAATGCAGAAACATAAATGTTTTTCTGATCTTAAGGTAGAGAAGACCTTTCTAAGCTTAAAAGCAAAGAAAGAGAAACATTAAGGAAAAGTAATATAAACCTTAAACAATATTAAGAGGCAAATGATAAGCTAGTGGAAAACAGCAAAGTTTCTGTCGAGTGCTCTTTCCTATATTCCATTGTCCTCGGTAGTAAATTGCAAAAAGGATAGAAATAAGCGATACAGAGAAAAGAAGTAGGGACAGCCAGTAGTTAACTGCAAAAATATTTTTTTCCAACCTAACCCAAAATGAAGAATGTGAATTAAAAGAGCATTGTAATGACACTCTTTTCCTACCAAGTAAAATATTTCGAAGAATCTGGTGCTCAACAGTTGGTACTTCCTCTATAGCTGTTAGGCATATAAAGTAATATAGCAGTTTGGTTGTATGTGTGTAAAACCCTTAAATTATGCTACTTCTACAAGTTTGTCCTAGAAAGTCGAGCTGTGTATAACTATGTTCAAAGATGGTGGTTACTCCCATTATTTTGTATAATAATGACTAATGGAAATCACCTAAATGTCTAACAGAGAAAGGTTGGACTGCTGGAAAAATACTCAACAAGGTACGCAGTGGAAAAGCAAGTTCCAAATTTGTCGAACACAATTCCATTTTGTAACATTTAATTGCTTTAAATAAGTGTGTGTGTGCTTGTGTGTACAAGACACATTGTGTAGTATAGAAAAAGACCATAAGTATATATACCAAACTTTAGCAGTACCTCTTGGGAGTGGGATTATAGGTGATATCAGTATCAATTTCTGTTACATTTTTTAAAATGACTTTCAGAATTTTTACAGTGACAAATTATTACAGTTAGCAGGAAGAAAATAGTTGGTGGTGTTTTTAAAAAGTATATTTGAAGAGAGTTGAAGAAGTGGAATTCTTCTAGCTTGGCTCATGGAACTGTACCTCTCATTGGTTCTCATGTTTTCATTTTTGGATGGAAAACAGATCCAGAGCAAATGGTATTCACACAGATAGAGCTTTTCTAGCTCCCAGCACAGTCCTGTCTAGTTTTCCATACTACATTTTCAGCAGCCAGATCTCATTTAGTCAGCACAACTTAAAGAAAAGTTTTGTTCACAGCTCGAGCTAATCCGAGATACAGGGTTCCACGTCATTTGCTGAATGAAATGGATGCAGCCAACATTGAACTGCAGACGAAAAGGTAACTTTTAGAGATTGAATGTTTTTTCTGGAGAATGAATCTAATTTAGGTCTAAAGTGTTCAGTAATGAAAATTAAAAAGGAAAAAAGACAGCTAGTTAATGCCAGCATCTGTTTAGCAGCTGAATTTTTATAGCAAGACTGTCTTTTACTTTGAAATTATCCTTGTCTGTGAGAGTGAACGAAATAATGACATTACTGACCATTGCTAAGTAGGAATTGAAGCCTGAGAAGACTAGAGGAATCTGTTTCCTGCCTGCCAAGTTATTCCCTTGGTACGAAGAGAATCTGCTTTGAAAATCACGCCTCATATTTAGGTAGTTGTGGAGAAGTGGCATGTAGTGACCATAGGTGGGCAGAGGGAGGAAACGAGTCTACAAACTATGGGGCTTACTGTCACTCTAGGGCAAAGCCTGTAATGGATTATTAAAGGGATGGTTGTGAGAACTTGATCTCAGCATTCTCTTTTGAGGTCTAACCCGGGACCCTGAAGAACTGGTTCTTCATTTGCTCTCTGACGTAGTTGGTGGGGCATGGAAGTCCCATGGTCTTTTCCTGGACCCAAGTAGCTGGTTGTGTTCAACATTTTTATCATTGACTTGAAGCTGGGGAAAATGGCAGGTAGATTGAATGGCATGCCAAGATGAAAGGAAACCTCTACGAAAATCAAGACACTAAAAATACAAAAACTTAAAAGAGTAAAATAGCTTAAGCATGAAAAATCACCTGCCTGAGTGGTATGGCCTAGCAGTTGGTATTAAAAAACAAAACCCCAAAAACCTAAGAGGTTTAGTCATGTGGCCATCAGAAAAGCTAAAGCTCTCTTTAACAACATTAATAGACTGTCAGAAGGACCTGGGTGGAGGCGATAGCCTCACCCACTCTCCACTGGCCTATTGCCTGGAGTAGAGTGCTTGGCACCATGCTTCACGGCTGCTGCTGAGGACAGTGAGCCTGGGGGGTACACATGCAGGAAGATCACGAGATCGAGCTCAGATGTTTTATTGGGACTGTGGTATTAGTGGAAGCCAGGATGAAGTAGCCATTTGTAAATCTGACACTTCACACAGTTCACAACTAATCTCAGGATTGAAGAGTTCGGGTGTCAGTGTTCAGAGGGACACATTGCACAGTGTTTTCCTTGGGATTCACAGTGGCAGAGCTGAACTTTTGCTATTTATTGAGAAACTGAAATGAGTTGTTTTGGAGCATGGAAGAAAATGATGTTAATTATAATTAGGTGGAATGGAGAACTTACATTGTAAATCAAATATTTTTGGTTAGAGATGAAACCATGTTTGTTATAAAAACTTAGCATTTATGTATTTTTTATGCCTCTTTAAAGGGCGGAGTGTGATTCTACAAATAATACTTTTGAGTTGCATCTCCACCTGGGCCCTCATTACCGTTTCTTCAATGGGGCCCTGCAGCCTGCAGTCTCTCAGACAGAAAGCGTGTGGGACTTAACCTTTGATAAAAGAAAAACTTTAGGCGATCTTCGACAATCAATATTTCAGGTAATTTAGCCACACCTCCTCTTAATTTAGACATTATGGTCCATGTCCAGCTAGATTCTTCTTTTCAGAAGTCCTCTTTAAGATACAGCTATTTATTTTTCAAAACTGCTTAGGAAAACCCTCCATCTGCCAGTTCCATAGAGGGATGGCCCTAGTGTTCCCCTCACTGGTACCTCTTAGAGAGAGGCTTCTCCGCACAGGCAGGACAGTCCTGCAGGAGCTTTCCAGGGTGAGAAGCAACCTGATTTACTTTATTTTGGGGAGAGAAAGAATACAAGGTTGTTTCTTTTTTAAAAAATAAATATAGAGAAGTGTTTTTGAAGGTAATGAAGAAATAAAGATAAGATGTTGTCTAAAACCAAGAACTACTAAACAAATAAAAGCAGCTAAGGTCTACCTTTCAGTACAGAGTAGCATTTATTAACAAGCTTGCCAAGTGAAGGAAAATACTTGCTGGTTTACAGAAAAACAAACATCGTCGGCAGTTGTTTGCAAATAATTTACCCAGTTGTGTTTTAATGACAATAAGGACAGCAGTGCTCTTTATTTTACTCCCAGTGCTTTCATATTAATTATGTCATTTGGTTCTTTAACCTCATGGGGAGAAGCTAACTACCCCATCTTAGAGACGAAAGGGGTAGTTTAATTGTGATGGCCCACGGTCAGACTAATCTAGTCAGTGGTGGGAACTAGGACTCCAGTTCTGGTCTTCCTACTCTTTCCTTTTAATCACTCGTCTTTCCCCCACACTACTTCCTGACCAAGCAAAAAGGAAATAGAAAATATAAACTTTTTTTTTTTCCCCCTCAGAAATAATTGAATTTTCTGGAAAACTGAATCAGTTACCAAAATTATTAGCTTTCTTTTGATTTTCCTCTCATATAAAGAAAAGCAGGCCAGTTTCTTTCTTTCTTTCTTTCTTTCTTTCTTTCTTTCTTTCTTTCTTTTTCTTTCTTTCTTTCTTTCTTTCTTTCTTTCTCTTTATTTATTTATTTATTTATTTATTTATTTATTTATTTATTTATTATTGTTCAGAATATTACAGATGTTCCCTTTTCTCCCCGTTGACCCCTTCCACCCCGCCCCCACCCCTCCAGTTTCTTTTTTAATTTTAGTTGATTTAAATGATATTTAAATATTGCATCAGCACCAGGATGTCTAAAATTGTCTAATATTTCTGAACTTTTGCATTAAAAGTTCATTTCTGAGCCAGTCCTGGCAGTGTTGATTAGGTGGAATTGGGGATCTGACCCTGTCTAAGGTGACATTAGGTGACGAATGGAAAAGACCTTTATGTGCACGTCTCTGTTATCTTGAAGCCAGCCACTGGCAAGAGGTGGTGAGATTGACATAGTTAATTCATTGCTTGTAAATACAACATTTCTTTTTAAGAGAACTGTCTGTGGTATTGTGGAGAGAAACTAAATAGGACTCACCTTTATGGGAGATGTTATTTTGGCAAGGTTACCACAGTCCCAGAGTCTTGGATCTACAAACTTAGAAAACAAAACCCTGGTAATCTATTCCACTGTTTAAATTTACAGTGGGAAGAGTTCTTTTCAGGTATTAGAGCCAGTGCCACTTTTTCCTGAGCAGCACTAATTAAGTCATTTTGCCATATTGGACTGATTCCTGAGCTGGCATGCTGGTCAGTTTGCCTCTGATAAAAGTGGTCTTCCTGCAAATTACATAGAACTGTTTAGATGGTCGTGCTCTTTGTGTGTGCCAAGATTTCCCCTTCACTAGTGGACGAGATTTTCCATCTTTAACTACTCTAACCATGAGTGATGCCTTCCTCCCTCCCTCTCCCTGTTGGGTGGGGTGGGAGTGCTGTGTGTTTGCTCTCCGTATCCTCCACATATTAAATGGGCACATTGCTCGTCTTATTTAACCTGGAAATGTGATATATGTTACTTTTCCTTGTTTTCTTTTCTTTTATAAACATTCTGTAGCTGTTAGAATTTTGGGAAGGAGACATGGTTCTTAGTGTTGCCAAGTTTGTACCAGCAGGACTTCACGTCTATCAGACACTTGATGGTAAGATAAATGTTAAGACACAGCAGCTCGTTTTATGTACATATATTTTTTGTGGGGCTCATCCGTGATTTTCTACTCTTGGCCAGTCTTTCCTCCACCTACTACATTTTTAACTATGTAATTTATCCAATTTATAATGTGTCCAATTTATGTAACATGAAATTTTGCTAACATGGAAACATTGCTAACATATATTTTCTGAAATTAAGGCTGCCCCTGTGCCAAATTAATTTTTAAAAAGGCTTTGCGTTTTTAAAAAAAATTTCTAATCCTCATCCAAGAATATGTTTTTATTGGTTTGAGAGAGAGAAACATCAATTGGTTGCCTCCTGTATGGGCCCCAACAGGGATCTGACCCAAAACCTATGTATGTGCCCTGACCAGGAATCAAACCTGCAACCTTTTGGTGTATAGGATGATGCTCCAGCCAGCTGAGCCACCCAGCAGGGCTCTGTAGCTTGATTTTTTAACCCAACTCTTAGCTTCACATTTTGTAGCAAAAAGACATGTACCTTGAGAGTTTAAAAGTATTTACTTCCTTTAAATAACAATAGAACAGTAGTAGTAGCAGTCACAGTGTAACAGTTGTTTTGGACTTCACTGTGCCAAATACTGAGCTAAGTGTTTTTATGTAAATTACCTCATTTGACTGCCACAAAATTCCTTTATCCCAATTTCATACATGAGAAAACTGAAGCGTAGAGACTCGCATACACAAGGACATGACAGCTAATTAGTGGTGGCACTGGGACCATTTGATGCCTCCGCCTTACTCCCGTTCCCAAGGTTAAGCACAGTTGACTGTATATTAAACTTATTAAACTCTTTTCCTGCTGTCATGCTCACAAAGCCTGTGTGGCAACATGGGGAAATGCTTCCATAGTGAAGGAGAAAACTGAAGGGCATGATGGGAGGAGTAAAGATAGAAATAATAAACATAATTACTGCCTCCTTAACTTTTTTTTTTAAATATATCTTTATTGATTTCAGAGAGAGGAAAGGAGAGGGAGAGAGAGCTAGAAACATCAGTGATGAGAGAGTCATTGATTGAGCCCACAACCTGGGCATGTGCCCTGACCAGGAATCGAACCCCGATCGCCTGGATCCTAGGTCAACGCTCAACCGCTGAGCCACTCCCGTCTGGGCTCCTTAACTTTTCTTAATGGGAATGATTTTTCAAAAAGATACTTAAGTGTCTCGACTCTTTCGTTAAGTTGATGAGTGGTCTCACTGATGGTCTCTTGTCCTAGGAGATGACCTGGCACTGTGGGAAATTGGAGTTGCTGATGAGGAAGACATCTTTGTGTGGGATGGAGTGGAGGTAAAACAGCACCGAAGAAGTACTCATGGTAGTTTTGGGTTTTTTTAAGTCATTGTAATGAGATTTCATTCAGCATATGTGAAGGCTTATTAGAGATTAGAAAACTATTGAAATGCTTAATAAACTTTAGGTCCAGCCAGTAGTAGTTGTGTGTTAAAGGGATATATATTGAGCACTCCACTGTGCCCAGCTGTGTCAGAGGCTCGGTACAGAGGTTCAGGCTCACGGTGGAAATGCACTAATATACATGCTGTAGGGGTCTGTGCATATTCCCCGTGGGAACTCCGGAGAGTCAGGGATGGAGGTGACGTGTAGGAGCAGAGTGAACTTTCTAAGTCAAGAAAGGGGCGAGGAGCAGCTCAGCCACTCAGACACCTGTCCCTGGTCCATCTAACGTATTTCCCAGGCCTCATTACCACCACTGAGGACTCATACATTTGTCCCCATTCCAGATTTCTCTCCTAAAAAATAACAGGTAGCTAAGAGGAAGTTTCAGAAGAAAAATCTAAAGTTGTTTTTCTGATTCTTAAAAGACATTTGTGAAAACTATTTCACTTGGAAAGAAAAAGAGAATTATTCTGCGAGAGCAATCTTTTGCTGCATTACTATGTTGACTTAATCTGGACAAATGTAAGCTGTACTAATGGCTGTCTTGATATTGTTGTAGGTTGGCGGAATCCAGATTCCCACTGGTGGTGACTGTGAACCTTTACTCCTAAATGTCCTCCATTTGGCAACAAGCAGTGAAGAGTGCCAGCAGCTGGTGGAGTCTCCACATGTCTTCCCAGCTAATGCGGAGGTGGGCACTGTGCTCACAGCCCTAGCAGTCCCAGGAGGTGCCATCTTCATCAGCAGTACTGACTCTGCAGGTGGACAGAGCTGGACTGCCATTCCCCAGGGAGACTTGAAGAAGACCTTCAGAGAACACGGCCTCCAGAGCGGGAGCTCGATTTTGATTCAGGATGCCAGGAGTGATGATAACAGGTATCTCACTAAAAAGAGAATTTTTTAAGTTATTTAAATTAGAGTACTATCTCTTAGAACTCTAAAGCTTTATTTTGATAATAAGAGTTAAATGTTTCTTTTTACTTCTGGATATTGTGTTCTGTATTTTGTAAGTAGGAATGCTCTAGGTTAGGCAAGTTGGAGAAAAATTATACTGAAATACGATTTTTTTCTGTAAATATGTTAAGTAATATAGGTATAGATATAGTCTAGATTAGTTGGCTATAAAGCAGAGTCTATCTAAGTAATTCTGGTTAGTGCTCATAAAACTGAAGACATAGTCTCACGACGTTTGTTCCTGAAATTTTTCATGAGGATCATGTCAAGATCCTAGCTAACTTTGTCTGACTAGTTTGTCACAAGAATCCCATAAGGCAGCTCGGTTTTCCATCACAGTCCCTTTTATGACTCTTGAGATCCTCCCATTGGCCCACATAGGGCAGTTACATGGGGAATTATGCCCTTAATTCCTTTTGTCACATTTGGAACCTAGAGGTTCTGCCTCTCTACATTTCTGCTATCCATGTCTTGACAGTGTGGGGGGTTAGTTTCTGTGGTCATTGTGTTGTGCAGTGTAACCCCCCTGCCTCATCTGTGCTGCGTGTATACTTAGATACAGAGGCCGCCGCACAGAGGAGCAGAGCGTTTGTGAACTGCGCTTATTTTGTGTAACATTTATCACTTACTCTTTTGGACAAGTGTTTTCCAGACATTTGTTTCCCTACCATGTGTGTGTAATGAAAAAGTTTATTATATAATTTCTTTTTTTAAAGTAACATACACTTATTAGGACTTGGGAAATACAGAAGTGAAGACAGGAGACTGACAACAGCGTCCCTGTACCTCCCGAGCACTGTCGTCACTGTTGGCTTCCCTGTTTGAGCTCAGATAATTGGTTTCAGTTTTGAAGGTTTTTCTTTTTGAACATAATGATTATTTTGTAGATAGCTATATCCTGCTTTTCCCATGTTTGTATACTCATTGCATGGCTACACAGTAATCGGTGTTGATGTTACAGTTTACCCAGGTGCTCGTGTGGGAGGCAGTACAGGTCAAGGCCAAGGGCTATGGAACCAGCTGCCTGGATCTGTTTCCAGCTTTATCGCTTCCTAACGGTGTGACCATGGGCAAATGACTTCACTGCTCTCTGCTCAGTTTCTTCTTCTGTAAAATGGGGATAATGATTAGTACCAGCTTTGTAGAGGTGTAAGGATTGAGAGTCAAGGGCGTACGAAGCACACATAGTGAGTGCTGAGTATTTTAGCAGCACCCTCATCATTGTTATCTTCATTCGGCTTTTTGCTGTTTTAAGGGTTTCTTCAGGGAACATCTTTGTGCCTAAAACTTTGCTATATTTAGGATTGCTAACTTCAGGTGGAGTCCAGATAGGAATAACTGAAATAAAGACCAGAATTGTGTTTCAGGGCTCTGATATGCACTCCCCAGGAGGACTTCCACTAGCCCATTCAGTGCCTTGGTGTGAATTAGAAAGAAGTTGCTCCTTCCTCATAGGAAAGTCTTGTGAGAACAAGACCCTCTCCTACCATCTGCTATCATAAAATGGCATCTATAATAAAAATTTATATATTCATTGTGTGTGATGTAGCTGATACCCCGTAGCTGTGGCACTTTGATGGAGTATCGGTCCGCACTAGTGCACGTGACTGTCCTGTTATTAAATCAGAACCCTGTGTGGGGGCCTCTGGCATAGCTGCTCTTCAAGCCCCATAGTGACTCCAGTGTGCAGGCTGAAGTCAACAGTGGATTGTTCAGTTACAACAGTTCTCTGTGAAAAGCGTGGCAACAGATCACTTGTCTAAGTCAAAGAGTATCTGAGTCGTGAGTATAGATTCCATAGATTACAGACTCCATGGAGTGCTGCCCAACACTACCCCACAGAGACAGTCAGTGTTCATGAAGCAGCTCCGTGGAAGCTGGTCACCTCCACTTAGTCGCAGTAAGGGACAGATGCAGAATTTTAGAAGTGGTGCCTAAGGAAAGTATTGATTTTCTGATCCTTCCTGATCCATAAAAGTGCTGCATATAGACACTTTTTTTTTTTAACATCTTTTTACCTACAGTTTGTTGACCAAACAAGGGAAATGGATCACTAGTGTGAATGATATCGACTGGGTCGAAGTTAAAAATTTATGTCAATTAGAGTCTGAAGAGGAGCAAGTTAAAATATCAGCAACTGTTAACACAGTGAGTAGATTATAATTAAGGTTTGGTTGACAGTGTTTCAGTTATCAGAATTTTATTTAGAAAGCAATACCTTACTCTTTCAGAAGAGTCTCAGTAGAATTCTCAATCTTAAGAAATCAATGTTTTATTTTTAATGTTTGATTATTGTTTGTTTACTTATTAGTCCTTGGCATATCTCAAGGAAATGTGTGCTTTTTTCCTCAAAAGCCTAGAATGAGAATGTGGGAGTTAGCTATTCAGTTAGGACATGGAATCCTCTTAACTTCGTTGTCAAGTATGTAATTGATAAAAATACATCAAAATATGAAATGCTGTTTTCAAGGGTCTTTTTCATATTTTTTAAACCAGGCATATGTTTTGTGTTGTGGTGGTGTTGTTTTTTTAGTTTAACTGAAATTGCTCTAAATTATACCCTGTGCTCTATATGAAGCCACCTTCTCTTTCAAAGGGATCCCTTCAGTCTTCCGTTTGGAGACTGTGATGCTGGTTTCCTTGTACTTCATTCTTCCAGAAAGCATCTTTTTATATGGATGTAGTCTCAGTTTGTTAAATTTTTTCCATAACATTAAATGAAACATTAGAATGATTTTATTTCTATGAGCATTATGATTTCTTGAGGTGCATTAATATTTGTTGGTATAATAAAGGGGACCGTGTGATACCTACCACCCTGACCCTAAGTGGGGGACTTTGGTGAAGTCCTCGAGCCTTCTTAGCACAGTGTGGGCACTGGTGGGAGGGTAGAGTGGATTTCTGACATCAGTCTTACCCCTAAATTTCCACAATTTTATGCCCTAGAGGCAGTTAGCCTAGACAAAGAAGAAAAACAGTTCTAAAATAAAGTAATTTAAACAGTCATTTTTAATAGTGCCCTTGGATTAGTATTGCCCATTTTTATATTATCTATGCCTATTGGCACTGAATTTATCATTCTTACCATAAGGAAATGTGATTACCAGAAATTTTTTTGTTTCCTCTAATTGAAAGGTTAGCGGTTTGTCAAATTTTTGGTTTTCTAGCTAGAATTGTTTCTCTGGTTTTCTGTAGGAATCCTTTCTGTTCTAACTAACATCAGTTTGGTAAAAACTATTAAAATCTAAGTTTTAATTTTGATTTTGTAGAAGAGAGAAAATGAATTTCAGGGATAGAAAAGTTTTTTTAAGTAGGCAAAACTATCAGATGCCAGGTAATTGATAACTGCCGTATGTGCACACACTGACAATCTCCACTCTCTTCTCCACCCATTGTTTTCAACTTATACACAGTCATTAGTTTATTTCTCTATTTTAGGTGGTGCTTGATATTCGAATTAAAGCCATAAAGGAATTAAAATTAATGAAGGAACTAGGTAATCATTTATGTTTACTTTTGGTTTTTTGGTTCGATTTAGTTTTGATTTTTAGTTGAAAAACTTATGGGAGAGTACAAAAATAATTTAGGGAAAACTCATGCACCTACCACCCAAAATGGACAGATGTTAACATTTTGCCCCGTTTGTTTTTGTTTGAAACATTACGAAATCTGTGTCCTTCTGAGACCTACTCTCTGTCCCTCCCCAGATGCAACCAGTATATGTGTCTAATTTGGGTGTGTGTCTAGTCTCTGTACTCATAGTGTATTTATATATTATGCTTCCATATATATGTTTATGTGTATATTGTATTTTTACATTTACATAAATCACGATACTGAATATAGATGCTACAAATTCACTATTCACTCAACATTGGGTTTTCTTTAATAGTCTTATTGAGGTACAGTTTACATACCATCAAATACCTGTTTGAAGTGAGATTGAGCAATTATCAGTTAATGGGTAGAGTTGTACAACCATGACTATAATTGAGTTTTAGAACATTTTCATCACTCCAAACTGATCCCTCATTCCTATTTGTATTCTGGGCCCGCAAAGACCACTCATCTACTTTGTCTGGATTTGCTTTTCTGGACAGTTCATGTAACTGGAACCACGTAATAATGTCTTTTGTGTCCAACTTCTTTCACTCAGCTGGAATTAGTCTATCTGTATCCTAAGGATTGTATTAAAAAGCTACTAGAAACAGTAAGTGAGTGTAACAGGAACTCAAGTCAATATACAAAAGTTAAGAAAACACTTAGAATAAAATATCATGAACAACTTGGGGATAAATTTAAAATGTGTGTAAGACCTGTACACTGAAAGCTAGAAAATATTGCTGTGAAAAATTTGAAAAGACCTGACTAAATGGAGCAATATAACCATGATCTTGGGTTGGAAGACACAATATTGTTAAGAGGCTAATTCTGTCCAAATTAATTTGTAGATCCAATTCATTCCCATTCAAAATCTTTTTTTGGAGGGTGGGGGGTGAATATTGACAAGCTGATTCTTTAACTTATGGGGAAATGCAAAGAACCTAAGCATCCATAGCAATTTGGAGAAGAAAAACAAAACGAAGAGTTACACTGTCTGATTTCAAGACTTAACTCTAAAGCTGCCGTAGTCAAGACAGTGTGTAGGCATAAGAGTCTACACAGACCAGGTCAGCAAGCTATGGCCCACAAGCTGTTTCTGTATAGCCAGTGAGCTGAGAATAGTTTTTACAGTTTTAAAAGGGCTCTTTTAAGAAGAATGTGCAGCAGTGATCACAACTGGTTTAGAAGCCTAAAAATGTGTGCAACAAAACTATATTGAGAGTCCAGAAATAAGTGCCCACATATTTAGTCAGTTGACTTTCAGCAAAAGTGCCAGTAAGTGCTGGACCAGTTAGATCCCTGTGGACACAGGAAAGAACCTCCCGCTTTGCCTCATGTTAAGCAAAACACTGACTTAAACTGGATCCTCGGCCTAAATTTAAAACCTAAGACCAAAATTTCTGGGAGAAAGCATGAGATAATCTTTGTTACCTTGGCCATAAGGAAAAGTTTTTTTTAAACAGGACTCAAAATTTACAAACCATGAAAGAGAAAACTAATAAATTGGACTGCCTCAAAATTTAGAACTTCTGTTCTTCAGAAGGCCTTTGAAAAGGCTGGCCACAGGCTGGGAGAGAAAGATTCCAAAATGTACTGGGCAGCCGACTTACATCAGCACATGTGAAAAACAGTTGTAACTTAATCAGAAGACAACCCAACCCAAATTGGGAGGACACTTTACAAAAGAAAACTGACCTGTAAATGACCAACATACAGGGGAAGACGCTCAGTATCTCTAGCCACAAACTAGAACCAGGACACCCACTGCACACTCCGCAGAACAATTAACATTTCAAACACTGACGAAACCAACGGGAACGCAGAGGTGGAGCAATAGCAGTGATCCCGTATTGCTGCCAGGAGCGTGAGGCGATAGTACTTGTAGTAGAGTTAGCCTGTTTCTTACTAATTTAAACATCCATTTACCAATTCTCCTAGATATTTACCCAAGAAAAATTAAGTCATATATCCTTACACAAACTGTACACAATGTATATAACTCAAAACTGGAAACAATCCAAACATTCATGAATAGGTGCATGAATGGCCAAATAGTGGAGCATCCACACGGTGGGAACTGCACCGAGTATGGAATGGAAGAATCTGAGACATTATGCCAAGCAGAAGAGCGAGACACAGAAGAATACACTTCTAGTCCATTTACTCTGTGTGATGAGGCTCCAAGGGCAGCATCATGGCTGTTTCCCTTACTCCTGGGATAAGCTTCTAGCACAGTGCCTGGCACAGAGAAGATACACAGTGTTTCCTGAGAGAAAGTGAAAAGAAATTTAAGGAGACAGTATTTAATAAGTACTTTTTAATTGAAGAATTCTTTTCATAACCTGTTCAGTTGTCAAGAAATTTGTATTAGAATTATGTGCTAGTTTCCTATGACTACAATAAAAGATACAGAGCTCAGGAATCTCAGAAAGAAATTCTGCCAAGGTCTAATAAAGTTAGAACTTCTAAGACCCATGCCATTCTTGCCCTCTCAGAAGGCTCCTCCCTCCTAGCATCCCCACTTCATGTCCACCTTTGTAAGAATTATGTTTGGACTAAACCTGGTGTGCTTCTTCCCACAAAGCAGGAATCTGAATCCTCAAAAATAGGCACACCTGCTTGGTCCACGTAATGGGCATAAAAAAATCACCTAACATTTTTTAAAGAGGCAGTCTCTGCACAGCTCCAATGTGCACAAATTTCAGTTATCTCGGTTTATTATATAACATTAGTTACCCAGCAACATGGCTCAAGTTCTAGCTACCTCTGATTTAACTGAGTAATTGCAGAAAGCACAAACTAGCCTTCTAGCTGCAGTCCACAGTCCACTGCAGAAGTAGTGGATGTGCATCACCCTGTGTCTGATGTTCATTTCACTGCACAGGCAGCCAGATGTACAGCTTACTGCCTCCTTTTCTCCCAGCTATAAACCCACGTGACATTTTATAAGAACAGGTCATCGAATTGGCCAACAAAGAGGAAAGTGCAGCAAAGAAACAAAGCACATGGAGGGATAGTTGTAGCTGACACGGGGGTGTTGACATGCAGCTCATTCAGGAGACCAGACGTGACGGAGGAACCTGACAAACTATGAACTTATCGCAGAAGTGGGGACAAGTGGCTGTCACAGAAAGGATGAAACTATCCCAGGAGATGTGATGCTGGCAAAATGACTTCACACTAAAGGAGCTCCTGGGTATATTTCATGAGATTGAAGCACAAAATATAAAATACTGGAAGCTGATTCACACTTAGATGTCTGAGTATGACAGTTCGCTGGGGAAGAAAAGACTGGCTCTGTAGCAGAGCCACGCGATGAGCAGAGGACAGCAAGCCCCGTTCACGCCATCCTTGACATGGCTTCTACAAAGAGAGAAAGCATTTTCATCAGTGTTCCTAGTTTTTTAAATTACAGTGTGAATATTAGTTTTACAGTGTTTTTCTTTTCACTGTACATGTCTGACAGTTTTAAATGTTTTGACAAAAATCTTTAAAGGTCAAGAACAAGGTAATTTTTCTCACCGTTACTAAGGTTGCTTTGCACAGTGTCAGCTGCACAGGCGTCTTACAGTCCCACATCACTGCTTGCTTTCAGGTTGGGGGGGGGTAGCTTATTGTAGTTTCCTGCTAATTTGACAAAGTAGAGACTCTCTGTTTCGTTTTCTTTGTTTGCTACACTAACCAGCTTCTTCTTTCTTGTAGCCGAGAACAGCTGTTTGAGGCCTGTTGATAGAAATGGGAAGCTGCTTTGTCCAGGTAAATCTGTGTGTGGCCTTCAGAAGCAGACACATACTCATGCTATCTAACTTTCTTAACACTTTTACTTTAACAATGGCTCCCAACACCTAATATGCTTAAATTACCTTTCAGAATTGATTTACAGGACATGCTGTCGTCCAGGTGACTTACCATGTGTTACAGAGTGTCTTAACCAGAAATCCAAACACTTCAGTTTCCTAGAGTGAACACCTGTCTTTCTGATGAGCTGATCCTTATTTTAGTCATGGTTTTGATCTAGTTGTGTCTTCGTAGATTTTTTCAGTTTTTTAGTTGCTAATTTTATTGAGATACCTCTTATGGAGTAGAGTCTGTTCTCACCTCTGTACCACACCTTGTCTTTGGATGTAATTGAGTCTGATTATTGCTGGTAGTCACCAAAGCAGCTTTAAATAGGAAGAAGCTGGTTTATCCTGAAAGGATTAGGAACATCTAACTTCTAATCGTGTAAACAGCAGCTTTTTGATTTTTATAAATATGACTAGAATAGTCATAGCCACCTCTTAGGTCCTAGCATTGTTGTACAGGTAACAAGAATAACGTATTCTAGAATGTGGAATTAGAAAATCAAACAGTGATAACGTGTAATCCTTTTGCATGGAATGGAATGCTGCATTTTTTTCCTTCCTTGACATTCTTGATTTTCAAAGAAAAACTGATTTCAGTACATTATTTTGCCCAGACTGGAAGGAATTAATAATATTCATTGTGTTTGTAGTGCCAGATAGCTACACTTTGCGGGACGCAGAACTGAAGATGGGAAGCTCACTGGGACTCTGTCCGGGAAAAGCACCGACTTCCTCTCAGGTACCGTGAGGCCGCCTGGCCACGACCCACCTCCCCGTCGCCAGCTCTTCATTTTACAACTCGTACTTTAGCTACTGCAGTCATACTGTTTTTTGGTTTTTTTTAAATATACCTTTATTGATTTCAGAGAGAGGAAGGGGGAGAGAGAGAGAAACAGAAACATCAGTGATGAAAGAGTCCTTGATTGGCTGCCTCTTGCATACCCCCTGCTGGGGATTGAGCCCACAACCTGGGCATGCGCCCTGACCAGGAATCGAACTGCCATCTCCTGGATCCTAGGTCGATTCTCAACTGCTAAGCCACGCCTGGCCAGGCCATACTGTATCCTTAAACGTTTTCTTTTCCTTAAATGATACCTTTTATTTTAGGAATATATCCACATAATCCTCTATGCTTAAATAAAAATTCTTAGGCCGGCCAGAGTGGCTCAGTTTGTTGAGTGTCATCCTGGTAAGCGAAAAGTTGCCAGTTCTGTTCCCAGTCAGGGCACATACCTGGACTGAGGACATGATCCCCAGTCGGAGTACATGCAGAAGGCAACCAACCGATGGGTGTTTCTCTCTCACATTGATGTTTCTCCCCCTCTCCCCCTCCCTCCCTCCCTTCCTCCGTCTCTCCCTTCCTCCCTCTAAGCAGGTCCTCAGGTGAGGATCAAAAAAATAAATAAACAATATTATGTTTTCAAAACATATTCATAAGGTTCTTTTTCTGTGCAAATTTTGTGGTTAAGGGTATCTTTAAAGTCGAGTGGCTGCCAGTTTCAGCCATATTTCAGAAATTCTGAAATGTCCCCTTTTCCCCCCCACTTTTAACAACTGTGAGATGAGGCTGCATCTTTCGTCTGTGGCTCCTACAGTTGTGGCTGGCACTGTGCTTTCTTCGTGGAACATAAAGCAATGAGTAACAGCTGGTGGCATTTTAGATTTAATGAAACACAGAATATTAATTTTGGATGTAATTACTATCTGCAATAATATAATAGTCTCACAGCAGCTTGGTCTTTATCAGTATTCATTTCCTGTATAAATACCATCTGGTTGGCTTTGCCAGAAGCCCTCCCTACTTAGTAAACTTTATTACAGTCCAAAGTCGTCCTTATGTCCTTACTGTTAAGACAGGTGCTGAGGCTAGCTGAATTCCTATCAGGGTCCCCCTGGTCCGGATCCACTTCATTAGTTTCCCAACCACCCCCTTTTAATTTGTTCTTCCCCGGACTTGAGCAGACAGTGGTACACAGGCTGCAGGAGGAAGACCTGACGCGGGAAGTTGGGCTAGGAGGGGAAGCAGGGCTTGGGGAGCTGAACTGGTGCGCAACCAGACTCCCACCTTTCCTGTGGGGTCTTGGTAATCGTAGTAATGGACAGACAGCAAGGTCACAACCAACTGATTCGAAAGCTATGCTCACGGTGCATAGAAATTGTGAGTCCCTTTGAGGAATGACCAAGAAAGATGGGGAGCGTAGGAGAATACATGGTATCTGTGGGAGATGTCTTAGGAGTAAAAATGGCGATGAAGCATCTTAAGTTTCTAGGTTGCCAAGAAACTTAATGCTACTTAAACTGTAGCATTAGATGGTCTTGTTTCTATATGATTTGAAGTTTCATGGGCGACATTGGCTCTTCCTTTTTAGAAGCAAATACAGGTGTAGAATTGTAAAATTTATATTAAGGTGCGTTCATACTCTGTCTCGATCTTAGCTGTTCCTGTTTTTCTCTCTGGGGAGTGACATCCAGCCTGGGTCAGAGATGGAAATCATAGTAGAAGAAACAGTTTCTGTGAGAGATGTAAGTAATTTACTTTAGGGGGTGCCTGTGGGTGTCCAACACGGGGAACAGGATGCTCCTACGGCAGGGCGTATATGATATACTCTATAAAGGGTTCTGTGTGCTCATCCTTAGTTTTGGGAGCTTGGAAATGGGTGAACCAAATGGAATTTTCAGTTAGATTTTTCTATTATCAATAATACTTGATTGTAGAAACTGATTAAAAGAAAACATTAAAACCCCTCATTACCCTTTGTCCCACTAATGTGAACTTTTCGGCATATTTCCTTTGTTTTCACTTTGTATACACACACAGTCACATACATAGGAGTGTGTGTGTGAGAGAGAGAGAGAAACACATGACTATGTTTGTGTCACTGAGAACTGGGACTTCCAGTGTTGGAAGATGGACAGAGTGACAGCACTGTGGGTGAGGGAAGCCTGTACTTTGAGTTTGAATTAGGAGAGTCAAATAAACTTGCTGTCTTTTTTCTTTAAACAAATATTTTTCTACTTCTTCCCCATGAAACAGCCTAGAAACAGTGACCAACCTGGCAGTAGTAAGCACCCAGCACCCAGATTGTGCTTGCTGACTACCATTTCCTACGACAGGAACCAGGGCTCTTGGAGTAATGCTGGTTCTGTGTCTAGGGCAGGAAAGTTAGGATGAGCCTGGAGCACCTTGTCAGAGCAGAAAGCAGGGAAGCCAGCAAGGGATATGACCTGACCCACACCAGTGGAGTGTGCATCCTTCTAGGCTTTGCCATGTGTATATCGACATGTGGACGTGTGTGTGCACAGAAATGAAGCACTTGACGTCATAATGGGATCATGCTACATGTATTATACTTCGACTCTGTTTCACTTAAAATATTTTAAAGGCCTTTTAGACCAGTACATACAAACTTATTTATACTTTTAATTGTTTTAAGACCTTTTTTTTTTTAATATGTCTTTATTGATTTCAGAGAGAGGAAGGGAGAGGGAGAGACAGAGATAGAAACGTCAGTGATGAGAGCATCATTGATTGGCTGCCTCCTGCAGGCCCCCCAGTGGGGATGGAGCCCGCAACCTGGGCATGTGCCCCGACCAGGAACCAAACCTCGATCTCCTGGATCCTAGGTTGATGCTCAGTCTCTAAGCCACGCCAGCCGGGCTGTTTTAAGACTTTTTCGTAGTTTATTGAAATGTTCCCCTGTTAAAGGATATTTTGTTTGCCTTTTTTCTCTTATCCAAGCAGTACAGCAATGATCATCCTAGTTCTTGCTCCCTTCTGCTCTAGTAGAGTATAAAACAAATCTCTCTTACTTTTTCCCAAGATTTATTTAAGAATGTTTTTCCTCTGAAGAAGTCGGGAGTTTTTAATTACTTTTGTATTATGGAAACTCCTGTCAATTGTGTCTTGTTTATTGCTGTCCCTGAGATCACAGCTTGCACAGTTCTTTCCTTGCGAGTGTATACGACCAGTTGTGTTTCATGGGTGCCAAGTAAAGGCTGCTTTCCTTTGATAGGACTCAAAGGTTAATGTGTACTGTGATGTCAGCCTCATTCATCAAAGTGCACTGCTCGTCTTCATTAAAAAAAGCCATACTGTAGACCTGGAAGTGGATGAACAGAACTTTGAACAAAGTCCTGGTTACTGACACAGGCAACTGGTTTTCCCTCCCATGTCAGCCCCACCCAGCTCTCAGGAAGGAGAGCTTACGTAACCACTTCTTAACTACGTGTCTCTTAACCACTTCTTAACTATGTGTCTCTTTATCTCCTTGAGAATTACTAAACGTAATCAGACTTAAATAGGCCCAGAGTCCAGAAAGGTTGTTTGTTACAATACTGTAACTCAGAAACAGAACTAATGAACATACTTTTTTTTTACAGTGTTTGAAGACAGTGCTGGAGAAGTTTGGCCTCCTAGGTGAGTTCTAGGCCTCGACAACACAGAACCTGGTCCACATCTTTTACTTACAAGAAAGTCCTTATAAGCCTCATGAAACATGTCAGCCCTTTTTCCTCAGGATTGTCAGTTACACTTTACGTCTGTATGTACGTAATTGGTTCTCCAGTTCTCTTTGCCAAAAGAACATGTGTGAGCTAGCTGACCACTGGGGAAGGAGAACCCAGATAGGACCCAGCAAGTAGGAGAAGATACGGTTCACCCCCGAATCACCCAGGCCTTTCATGGATTTTGCTTAAACCTCATTGATTCAGAATTTCAGTGGTTGTGCTTCATGTCAGTGTTTTTGAGGGAATGTAACGTGAATGAAAACATAAATGCAGGATGTCCAGAGTAGCTACCAGGAAATGTGGTCAGTGAGCATCACACTGCTGCTCAGTCCTCACTCGTCGTCTGGAAGGGGAGGGGACATGCTCTGGAGCTGCCATGTGGTGTCATTTCACCTCACAGCAGTGCTGCCCCAGGCGGGGACCACTGCTCCCATTTTACAGGCAAGGGCTGGGCGGAGAATGGCTAATGGCTGACCCAGATTTCCCAGCAGGTGTAACTCAGACAGTCTCTGAGTTCAGAACCTGTGAAGCCATGGTGTTCACTTTTAACTTCCTGGTGTGTTGTTTTTTTAAAAAAGCATACTTAGGTTAAGTTAAATATTCATATAAGTCTTACTGTATTTAAAACTGGAACTAAGACAAAAAGGGTCTGCAAAGAAGAGTGTCGGGATTTACACCTGTGGCCTCTGTGCGGGGAGTGTGAGGCCCAGGCTTATTCTTCTGGCTGTAGATCCTTTGGGTGGTGGGGGGTTGACTGTTTATAAGATGTTGCTGTTTTCCTTCATAGCCAGGGTTTCCACTCAGCTCCCTCTCCTCAAAAAGTCATCTTCCTGTGTCCTCAGTGCAGCAAACGTGAAAACAGAAATCTAATTAAAAACTGTTTGCCATTTATAAATGTTCATTTATACCAACTTCATTCAACACTATTCCAAAAGTACTGTTTTATTAGATTAACCGCTCTTTGGATAGGCCCAGTTGTATTGTTCACGTTATCAGTTGCTGAGCAAGGTCAGCACATACTTTCATCCAAGACGGTGAAATGAAACTCAGCTTTGTGATTTCAGAAGGGATTCCACACTTACATGTATGTGCACATATATTTATACTCCTGCGTGATGCGTGTGTATACTACATAATAAAGGCTTATGGTAGCTATCGTATAATGGTAGCAAGTGCTACTTTTATTTGCAAGAATAGATTAATTAAATACAATTATGCATCTGTTCTTGGTGGAACCAAATTGGGAAAATAATTATTTTTATGCTCAGGAAGACAGAATTTTAAAAATTAGTTAATAATTATTAGATCAAATCCCACTTGACACTCATTTACCCAGCAGGGTTCCTGGCAAACTCTTAGAACACCCTGTTCTGAGCTGTTTTTCATTCTGATCCTGTTTCCTTCACAGGAGACGCGTGGCACTTACGAAGGATGGACTGGTGCTGTGAAGCAGGGGAGCCTTTGCGTGAAGAAGTAGGAGGAGTCTCATACCTTTTGTTCTTTAAAATCGTTGTGTTTGTTGGCATTTCCATACAGATACCCACTCGTGAATAAATTCTAGTGAAGGTTTTAATTTGTTTAGGATATGAAGGTTTATACGTGTCTGCTTTGACTCTTTCCTTCCTGTAGTCATTTGCGAGCAGTCAGAGGGAAGTTCTCGGCTAAGGGGGACTGTCTGGCATCTGTGTTAAGTTCCCTCTTTGTAAGAACTTGTGTCCCTGGGAATAGTGGACTTCAGTGGGAGGCAGAGAACTTTTGAAAACAAGACATTTGAACTAATGAGAGGATTTGGAAATACGCTCTGAATTTCAAAACCTGAATATTTTAATCTCAGAGTTCCTCATGAGTCGATGGCAGAATTCATCTTACCAACTGATCGCTTAGGCTCTGATCCAGAGACTACACTGTAGATCCAGCCAGACTCTTAGGGCTACCTCAGGAACAGTTGTATCTCAGGGTAGGTGGGATCTGGCTCATCTTATTGTTGATCCAAACAGCATCCAACCTCCGTCCAAGCCCGCAGCCTTAGAAGTAGACCCAAAGTGAAGCTCTGTGAGAACAGTAGACAGTCGTGGTCAGTGCCCCTCCCCTCAGCCTACCTGCCTTTGTTCAGCAATAGTCAGTGGTGCTGAATGTCCACAGGTTGGTTGAAGCAGGTGTGCTGGGGTCGTCCCGGAACACTGCTGTATAGAAGATAGCGGTCAGTGACAATGGAGCCATGACCCTCTTGAAGCTTTGCCAGGATTTGACTGCCGAGAGTAAGAAGTGGGCCTCAAAGGATCTTCAGGACATAGAGTTCGGGTGTCAGAAGATTAATACTTAGTCAAATGGTTTCTACATTTTCTTCTCTGTTAAGTCCCAAGGGGGCAAACAATTCTAAAACTGTGCAGAGCAAGCTCATTACTCTCAAAACTGGTTCCTCTTCCCCGATTTGCTGTCTTTCCCCACCAGTCCACTGCTGGCCGCCTCATTCAAGCCTTTTTTTGTTTTTGGTCCTCTTACCTAAATTACTGCAACTGGCCTCCCTGGGCCCAGGTGTTCCCCACCTTGGTGTGTTGCACATGTAGCAGCCAGAATGACTTTTAGAAACCCCTCTCAGAAGCTATGACTTTTCAAATGCAGTAAACACTCCTTTTTTTATTCTGTTCTGCATCCCTGTGATGTGGCCGCCCTCCAACCCAGTTTTCCCCGTTACTCTCCAACTGGTTGTGCCCACTGAAACAATCTAGGCTCTGAGCTCTTCCCAGAACAAGCCACACCTATTCTTGACGTAACCTCGAGGGGCTTTGTTTGCCTTTTCATGAGAAAACCTTCTCTCGTTTCGTCCACCTTTCCAAACCCAGCCCACCTTGCCAGGCTTCGCTAAAATTTCATCCTCTGTGAATCAGCCTCCTCATGTCTCCCCTCATCCCTCTCCCTTACCTCCAGTCTTCACGACACAGCTCCTACTCATAATTTAATATTTAACAATAGACTCTCTTGTAGGCCTACTTCCAACTCAACATCTGCTTTATTTATTCATTTCAAGGGTGATAGAGGCGTAGGGTTAAAAAAAGGTCCAGTGGTCTGTGTGCTGCCTGCACAAGTAACAAAACTAATTTCCGCATTCCCAGGATGCAACACTGAAAGAGCTCACGATACGCTCTGGAGACACTCTGCTTCTAACCGAAGGGAAGCTTCTTCCTGCGGTAAGACTTTGCTGCCAATGGACAGAGTGATGTCACTGTTGACGCGGAGTGAGGCAGGGCGGGCCAAACAAGGACGAGCCCACCAGAGCCTACCAGACATTTTGTCACTTTGTTTGCACTGTTCATGTATTGTAGTTACTGAGATGCTTCTAAGCAAAGAACATTTAGTCTGATTTTTATCACTTAAACTTTTGATTGTAAAAACAAGTATAATTATGGCAGTTATACATCTAAAAGGAAAATGTTTTGTCATCAAGATGTTTCTCTCTGTGGAAGTGGGGCTGGAAGTTTCCATCCTGTGTGTGCCTCACAGCAGCCAGGTTGCAGTGAGAAATGCTCCCTTCTCCAGGGTCTCCTGAAGGTGCCCATCTGGTGGTTCCAGCCTCGGGGGCCCGTGGGTCAGGGGAAGAGCCGTCAGGACCAGACGAACGGTACCCCTTCTCAAGGTGGGGTCTGTAGAGCTGCTGCCACCCCAGGTGAGAACAGAATGGAATCGCAGCTCCCCCTATGCCGTCTCTCAGGGTCCTCATGGCAACACGAATAGCAGCTCTTTTATCACAACAGACTCTGATGCTGAGGCAGCCAGGGGCAGAGGCAGGGCTGGGGTCCACACCCTACACCCTACACAGCTCCCTCTCCTCCTCTTCTTTCTGCCCCTGGGACCCCAGGAACTGCCCCCAGGGCATTCATTCCCGCCAACTGCCTTCTGAGCATGCACTGGGCCATATGAATGCACTGCTTTATTTCTAAGTGGCTTCTCCACAGGCAGAATTCACATGGCACGGTGAGCAAGGAGCCCTGAGCAGGGAGCTCACCTTTCCTTGTGAACAGTGGGTTCCACTTGGGTGTAAAAGAAACACGTTAGTCTCCTTTGTGACTGTAGATGTATTCTTGGTAGGACCGACTCTTGAGTCATGCTTTACTTAATTATTTAGCTGGGGGAGGGGTTAAAGTATGATATACTTATATTTCTTTTATCTTTTAAACCTCAAAACTGAAACTACTGAAAGTCATTCAGATCCTTATCTCCATACTCTTTGAAGTTAATGTATATTTAGAGAAATAAAATATTTTCATGTTAAATTAGCTATGAAATTGGCATTAAGTTATTTTTGGTTGGGTTGTATTAGGTGTGTTAACTAATCCTAAAAATGCTTTGGTAATAGAATAGTAATTACATATAGAATTGGCTACAGACTTGAAAAGCATGTTTAATCAGTGTTTTTCCATGAACATGAAGAAATAGGTCAACTGTTTGCTTGTCCTTCTTTATAATAACATGAGAGAAACATTTCTAATTCCCGAGAGTTTCCAAAAAGTGTCTGTTAGCTTGTGGTGTCCTTAAGCCACAGAACCCTTCATGAAGCTTTTGGCTTAATTCACTTATATTCTAATTTTATTATATATCAGCAGTGTGCCCAGCAATAAACAGACATTTAATTAAAGCAAAAATAAGTTAAATTATTCTGAATTTTAAATTTAGTTGCCAACTTTTATACCCAGGATTTTAGGTGAGAGAGCGTTATACTTTCCTCATTTTTATAACAAGTGAAGGCGGGCTTCTTACCGTCACAGACTCAGTCAGCAAGCACTGAGTACATGACACCCACCTGCCAGACCTGGACAGACAAGGAGGATGCTGGCCCGCCTGCTCCTGACAGGCATGGTCTTTATACACACCCAAGAAAACACAGACAAGAGAGACAGGTGGGGTCGGTGTGATGCAAGGGAGAAACAGGAAGGGATGTAAGGAATAAGGGCAGAGTATTCTACCAGCAGAGTCCTATTTGAGGAAGGAAAGTGTCGAAAAGAACATTCTGGTAGACAGCACAAGTGTGCACTTCCTCGAACCCTTTCCAGGGAGAAAGCTGTGGTACGGCGCCAGCAGTGAGCTCCCTGGCTGCTGCTTACGAGGCAGGGCCTCCTCTCCTCCAAAGTCTGGAGGTGTGAATCCGAGGAACTCAGATTCTGAGTTTCACAAATGAAATTATACTAAAAGTATTTACAACATCAAAACATGGCACATATTTCAGAAATACGAAGTAAATGCACTTCAAGCTCCTTTCAGACATCTGGCTCTGTCCTTGCAGGTGCTCCTGGTGATGTGCTCGCGGAAGTTCCCCTCTGCTACCTGGGTGACGTGGAGATCTCAGCAGATGCCACCTTGGTGCAACTGAAGGCTCAGGTCAGACTCCTCCCACAGTGTACCTGAGTGGGGGTCTGGCTGCTTCCCGGGAGATATTAATCTACTCTTCTGTCTCCTTTCCCTCACTTGCAGTCTGTTCTGATAGGGCATGTGCTACATGCCATGTTCAGTGGTAAGTACCCGCAGGCCCCACGCACAAGCTCCCAGCTCCCAGCTCCCTCGTCTTCTCTGCCGCTGCCTGTGGCTTCCATTCCTCCTCCTCTGACAGGCATGCTGTGCTCTCATTGACTGTCCTCAGTGACGTGCAGCCTGTGTCTGTTTTACTTTGTAGGTAAACATGGTTAACTGAGACATTTGTAAAGCATTCAGTTCACCCCTTTGTTTACATTGTTTTGTATCATTGTGATCCATGTGTTGCATGTTGTTAGTTAAGAGGAGTTATCACTTTCCCAGGAGGCCAGAACATCACTCTACGTCAGAATGTTAATCTAGATGTTGTAGGGTCTTCTTATGCATTAACATTTATAGAGAAAGAGTGTTCTGTCCAAAGAGAAAGGCTGGACTGACGGCAACACTAACTGCCTCTGAAGCATCCCACTGAAGTTGCATTGAAGTGAGCATCCCACCCTCCTTACAAAGGAAAACTGGGGGCAGATAAAAGAGCGTCAGCCACTGACATTCGACATCTGTGTCCTCGGTGTATGAACCGACCTTCCTCCAAAAACCAAGTGGTTTTATTTTCATGAGAACAAGTGGGAAGAGTCACTTTTTTCTGGTACTGGATTGAAAGATACAAAGTTGCTATTTTTAGGTTAAAAATGGATGAATATTGGACATTTTATACACAACCTAAATAATATAAATAGTTATCTACTTCAGAATTAGTTCAGCAGTTTGGGCCTAGCAGTAGGATCCAAAGATTTTGAAATATTTCAGAATCAAAAGTTTCTTCCATGGCAGCGCAGACTCTGCTGGACATCACACGGTGAGAGTGGACGAGTCCCTGCTCTACCAGCAAACTCTGACCTGGGAGACTCGCCTAGAAATTAATTTCAAAGCTTCATTTTCTTAAAAAAAGTGATCAAAAAGGAGCTCTGGCTCATATTTAGAAATTGAAAACTCACTTCTCTCCCAAGCTAATTTCAATGGAGAGAAATACAAACTTACTCAGGATTAGTTTCATTTAAGGGCTAGTCCTGGGAACTTTTTAGTAGGTATTATTCTTACTCAAGATACTCTTTCCCTCAGATGTACTTGTGTAGTTTTCATTTCTCCTAAAGCGGTATCTTTTCAAGAGTGCTTTTTCAAATCCTGGGGCCAATGTGTGTTTCTTTTCTAGGCCATGACCCTGCCCTCCTTGTCGGAGTTTTCCATCCCATCCCCAGCCTTCCTCAGAGCCTGGACAGTGGACAGGAAGCGCCCCGGCAGGCTTTTACGAGAAAACCAGCAGCAGCTGAGGTGGGCTCCTGGCTGGACTCTCAGTAACAGAGCCTGACCCTGGCAGTTCCACATGCCAGCGGGTGAAGCTTCTACATCAGACCCTGGGACAGCTTCGGTTCCTTATTAAGTGTAAAATGTAGCCTCATGTATGTTTTCTAGGCTCCCGAGACTGAAGGAAATTTTAGTGCCCTTTTTCTCTAGCTCTTTGAGCTATAACTGATGCAACGCTGTGTGAGTTAGGTGTACAGCCTGCGGATGTGATGCACATATAGTGCAGTGACCACTCCATAGTGTTAGCTGACAGCTGCTCACACCGAGTAATCACCATTCCTTTTTCCACTCTCAGCCACTTTCAGATATTACACAGTATTCTTTAGCTGTGATCGCCACCCTACATTAGATCCCCAGAACTTATTAATGCAGATTTACCCCCTGTGACCAACCTCTCCGCTTTCCCCGCTGTCAGCCCCTGGTAACCACCGTCCTGGTCTTCGTTGCTATGAATTTGGCTTTTTTAGATTCTACATATAAGTAAATATCATAACAGTATTTGTCTTTCTCATCTGACTTAATCTCACAATGCCCTCAGGTTCCATCCATGTTGTTGCAAATGGCAGATTTCCTTTTTTTCTCATAGCTGAATAATATTCCTGTGTGTGTCTGTGTGTCTGTGTGTGTGTAGTTCTGTTTTTAGCTTTTGAGGAACCGTCTTGCTATTCTTTCACAGTGCGTGTACCAACTTACATTCCCGCCAGCAGTACACAGGGTTCCCTTTCCTCCAGGTCCAGGTTCAGGCAGCGTCATTCACAACAGTGTGGAAACAACATAAGTGTTCAGCAGGTGAATGAATGGATAAAGGGGAGGCGTGCACGCGCGCACATACACATGCACCTTCAGCCACGAGAAAGAGTGTGACAGGAGGCTGCTGCTGTCGTAAATGGGATTGTTTTTTATGTTCTTTCTTTCCTTCCTTTTTTTAAATATGTCTTTATTGATTTCAGAGAGAGGAAAGGAGAGGGAGAGAGAAACATCAATGATAAGTCATTGATAGGCTGCCTCCTGCACGCCCCCTGCTGGGGATCGAGGAGCCTGCAACCCCTGCATGTGCCCCGACCTGGAATCGAACCGCGATCTCCTGGATCCTGGGCCGACCTTAGCAGCTGAGCCACGCCGGGTGGGCTGTGTTCTCTTTCTGAGAGCTACCTATTAGTATATAAAATGCAGCTAATTTTTGTATATTGACTTTTTATCTCCATGTTTTTTAATACATTTATTTTAATCGTCTTTTGGTGTAGCGTTTAAGGTTTTCTAGATACAACATCATGTCATCTGCAAAAATGAGCCTTTTTACTTCTTTCTTACTTGGTTGCTTCCTCTTCCCTCTTGCCTGATGGCTCCGACTTGGGGAGTCCAGCGCTGTTAGTGGGGTGGAGAGAGTAGGTGTCTTGTCTTGACCTTGACCTCGGAGGAGAAGCTTTCAGCTTTTCACCGCCGAGTATGGTGTTAGCTGTGGGCTTGTCATACATGACCTTTCTCATGGACATTTCCTCTAGCTGTAGTTTGCTGAGTTTTTAACATGAGAACATGTTGAATTTCGTCAGATGTTTTTCCTGCATCTATTGAGATGATCAGACGACTGTTATCCTGTATTCTGTTTGTGTATCACACTGACTTGCAGACATTTGACACAACCTTGCATCCCTGGCATAAATCCCACTTGATCATAGTGTATGATTCTTTTAATGTATTGTTGAATTCAGTTTGCTAATTTTCTAGTAAGAATTTTTACATCTGTGCTCCTGTATAATGATATTAGCCTGTAGTTTTCTCTTCTTACAGTGTCCTTGTCCAGTTTTGATATCAGTGTGATGCTGGCCTCATAAAATAAGTTTGGATGTGTTCCCTCTTCTTGTTTTTTTGGAAGAGTTAGAGAAGGAGTGGTATTGTTTTTTAAACATTTGGTAGAGTTTACTAGTGAAAACCATCTGGTCCTAGACGTTCCTTTGTGGGGAGATTTCTGATTTCTGATTCAGTCTCCTTGCTAATAACTGGTCTGTTCATATTTTCTATTTCTTCATGATTCAGCCTTGGTAGGTTGCATGTTCCTAGGAATTTACCCATTTCTTCTAAGTGGTCCATTTTGTTGGAGTATAATTGTTCATAGTAGTCGCCTAAGTTTTGAGTGTTATGTATAATATTTTGCTTAAGAAAGCTTAAAACTGACAATGTTTTAAAAATTAAATGTCACTATTATTTTGTTTCATTGATTATCAGGGACTGTAAGCTGGGAAGGAGAACTGAGATCTGCTTAGAGCTCCTTCAGAAAGAAGAACACTTGGGGTAAGTGGTCTTGCGTCCCACAGAATTACACGTCTTACCACAGTGGGTGGCTTCTTAGAAATCTAACAACGGTAGAAGATTTTTTCACCGCTTCTCAGTAGTCTGGCAACTTAAAACAGATTGTGTTCTAGAAGGTGTCTGTGTGTGTGTCTAGAACGTGGAGCCCATTTCCTGTAAAGCAGGACTTGTTCAGTAATTCCAAGTGCACAGTGACCCACGCGAGCTGGGAGGACAAGCAAGATGCTCCGGTCCTGCTGTCAGTCATGCAGAGGGTCTGTTGTCAAACTGACTTAAAGTAGCACCTTATTCCACTTTTTTCATCCCAGTCAAACCTGACACATCACGTACTTACTGAATTATCTGTCTCCCACTTCGAGGCGGTTAGCGTTGCGAGAGAGCAGGCACTTGGTTTTGTGGTCATGGCTGTATCCCCAGTGCCTGGAATAGTGCCTCTGTCACAGTCAGTAATTACTCTCTGAATAAAAACATACCACAAAGCTGTCTACAATCAAATCTTCCTGTTATTTTTTCACTGTAGGAAAATCTTTTATAAGACGTTTTTGTTAGTCTCACCAAGTGTTAAGATTCCTTTTACCTGATGTGACTGTCACTCCTGTTGCCCAGTAACGGATCACGCTCTTTCAGCCACATCTAACCTTCATGTGATGTCACTGTCCTCATACAACTTGTGTTACCAGGAGTTGTTTCCTGGAGGGGGATGTCTGGATCAAATGGTATAGACATTTTAAATCTTTTAAAATAAATTGTTAATTCCTTTCCCGATAAGTTATTCCAGTTTATGTTCCCAAGACACTTTCTTCGTATGTACTTCACCTCACCTCACCCCAGCACCAAGTATCGTCATCGTTTAAATGTTTGCTAACTTCAGGGCTTTGATTGCCACTAAGACTGGGCATGTTTTTCAGTCTGTGAGTGTGAGTTGTTTCATGCATTTTGCCTGTTTTAATGGGTCTGACTTGTGTGAGCTCTTCTGATGATGACATTGGCCCTCCGCCACGTGCAGTGTGAGCGGACCGTTTCAGTGGCCGTGTTCCTTTGAAGACTGCTCTGCACTCAGACCCCTTCCCAGCCTCCGCTTCGTTGTCCTTGCCCCAGCGTCTGTCTGTGCGACACCCAGCCCCCCGACCCCAAGGAGAGCTTCAGTCTCCCCTTTCACTCTCATCCCAATTCTGTCTCCTCCAAGTACATCACCCTTTCCTTTGGTAAAAACACCAATTTAACAGAAATAATCCTTAAAAATCACTCACTGTCTCACCATCCTGAAAACAAAAATGAAAGTTTTCATTTCTCCCCCTCCAGCTCCCAGTCTTACCTGCAGCTCTTACGTCGTGTCCATAACAAACAGCCTCCACACATCTAACTTTTACTCCCACTTTCTGACTGTTCTTTCCCCTCCTCCCGGCCCTCTCCTCCAGGCCCTTCTGCAGGGGTTTCCTTTGCTCTCACAGCTGTCCCCCCTCCACCTGTCTCCCCAGCTCTCCCTCTCCTCCCAACTGGAAGCCTTTCGCTCCTTCTCCCTGGCTACCCCACAGCAGGTCAGGTTTTTAGCACCTACGATGGCTCTCTTCCTGCCAGTTGCTGCAGTTGGCATTGCCCAGGCAGTCGTGATGGCTGGGAACCCTCTCACTAGGAGGAGGCCCGGCCCCCCACAATCCTCTGGCCCTTTTCCTTCTGTGCTCCACAGATGGAGCTTCCTCCACCGTCAGTGTCCCCTGCCAGCTCAGAAGGGGAGCTTCCCTCCATCCTGGGTCAGGGTTGAAGGGCATATAAAGGGTTTCCCACTAGCACTTAGGGTTTCGGGGAAACCTCTCCTTGTGAAAATGAGAAGAGTTGGAGGGGAAGCTTTGCCCCCTCATAGTCGTCACATATTTCTCATTTTGTGTGTTTTAAACCGGACATTGGACTGTCTTCTGGTGCAGCCCCCAGGACGTGCTGCTGAGGACACAGCTGCGCCTCCCTGGTGAGCGGGCGTATGCCCTGCCCGTGGATATGGTGTGGGATGCTGCCCGGGGCACTGCCAGTTCCCTGCGGCAGCGAGTGGCCGACTCCTACTCCCTTCCCGTGGAGAACATTGAAATTGCCAAATACTTTCCGGACAAGTTTGAGTGGCTACCAGTTTCCAGCTGGGTAAGTTGTGGGGCCTCAGGAAGCTGGGCTTCCTGGCAGAGCGAACGGTTACTGCAGTTTCACAGACGAGGATTTAGTGCAAATTTGGGCTGTTTCTTTATTCAAGATGCTTGATTTTTCTGTAGAACCAGCAGGTTACCAAGAGGAAAAAGAAGAAAAAGCGAGATAACCTGCAGGGGGCACCATATTACCTGAAAGACGGAGACGTTGTGGGTGTTAAGGTACGTTGTTCAACAGCAGGTGTCCTCTTGGACACACCAGGATCAGACGGTCAGACCCTTGGGGCACAGAGAGTCCTTTGTGTATAAATTGTTCGGGGCACGGAGCACGAGGAGGGAGAGCAGACAGCTCCTCCTGCGAGGTCAGAGGGGCCTCAGCATCCAGACCCTCACTGTGGGTCTGAGCTGAGTAGAACGCTTCTGAAGCTTTTACACCGAGTGTTGGTGCTGCAGGTTTGAGCAGGAACCTGAGTTGGGTTACGGCACTTCCTTCCATTCCTAGCTTGCTGAGTTCTTTGTTGTAATCTGTGTGCGAACTCTGGAATTTTCTGCATGTGTTGCCTTAGCCCCGTACGGTTTTCCTTCCTTAATCAGTGTTACTGCAGAAACAGGTCCTTGTCGTGGGACATGCTTACACACAGTAATATTTTTTATATTAAGGGTTAATAGTGTTAATAGGTCATTTTAATTCAAATGAACTATATACTGATAAATTATAGCTGTAGTATAATCATTGACTTAGTAATTAATTTCTTTGTGGTAAGGATTCCCTTAATCACTTCTGATCAACACTGTACTAGACAAATTACCCTCCGCCCCTAAAAAGAAAAGTAAATAAAAAATTGAAAGAGAGGTCAGAAAAATTTGAAAAGGAAAACGTAAAACTGAACCTGCAAAGGAGATTCACAAGACAGGATCAACATTCATGAAATTACACGGCAACCAGGAATGCCTCCAACAAAGACCTACCTGGAGAACATGACAGAGACTTTGAGTGGCATTAAAGCTTCAGTGAGACACAGTCACATCCGGTTCTTGGAAGGGAAGCCTCTCATACAAAGGTGTCCGTCCCTCCCACACTAAGTTCAGTATCATCCTAGCGAAAACCCTTGTAGATTAGATTAAAAAGACTAAGTATGTAACATAAAGAAGAACGTGGCCAGGGTGAGGGCCCCGCCAAGTATTAGGACTGGTGATATGGCTCAGAGAACTGTGGCTTTGGGGTAGACAGAGCCCCAAACAACCCCACAGATAGGGAACCTTGCCAGGTATTCCAGTCTACACTGAAAACGGATTATTCGGTAAGTGGTTCTGGGAGAATTGGTTATCCATAATTTTGATTTGATTTTCATAAGAGGGTTGGCCCTCAAGCTTATGTCAGCCTCAGGTCCCATAACATCTGTATGCACCTCTGCTCACGCCACACACAGCTGTCAGTGTGAAGAGTGACGTGGGAAGCAGTGACTTCCAACCTTTAGAAGGAAAGATGTAAGGAAATATTTGACTTTAGGTTAAGAAGGATTTCTTAAAATAAGAAGCAAAATGCACAGCCCATAAGAAAAGCATTGATAAAATTTACTACATGAAAGGGAAAAACTTTTGTACATCAACGGAAACCATAAAAAGCCAAGCTACAAACAGGAAAAGATATACCCAACAATAAATTGAGATTGTCATCCAGAATCTGTATCATACATACTACTTCAAGTCACTTTCTGAAAGATAACCCAATAGGGGAGAAATGGGCAAAGATGAACACCCTGCAGTTCTTAGAAGAGAACATTAAATGCCCAATAAACCTGAAAAGGTGGTCAGCTTCTCAGTCCCCAGGGACTGCAAGTCAGCAGTGAGCTGCCCTCTGTGGCCAGACCCTCAGCACTGTGTCCACCGCCCGCAGGGCCCGCCAGTCTGGTGGCCTGGGAGCGGTGGGGCAGCCCTCAGGGAAGGGAATTCCCTCCTCCATCGTCGCCCCAAGCAGCTGGCTCCTGTGCACTCGGAGACCACAGAAACGCCCACTGAAGCCTGCCTGTGACGGCGTAAACTGGGAAGGACTTCAATGACCCTCAGAAGGGATAAAAACGGGTGTAGAACACAGTTAAAATGAGATCCAGGTGGCCGTCTGTCCGAGTTCTGGTGTAGAAAAAATGTCACGGGATGATCGTTGACGAAGTGTAAACATGTAAATGCCGAGTCCCACGCCCGTGCAGCCCTCGAGTGATGAGGCGGGTGGGACACCGGCCCCAGACCCAGCGGGCTTGCCTGAGTGGGGTCGGGCATCGCCAGAGTCTGTCTTTTCCTTGGAAAGTTCTGTAAAGTGAAGCACGTATGGCCGAAGGTTAACACTGCTAACAGCTAACTTTCACGGAGCTTTCTGTTACGGGCCAAGCACCGTCCAAGCACCGTCCATGTACACATTAACTCGGTTTTTCTTCATGACAGCAGGGGAAGAGGGGCCATTGTGAGGTGAGGAGTATGGGGCATTAACGGCAGGGCCACCCACGGCCCTCATGCTACCCTGGGAATGTGGTCTCTCTCCCATTACCTCCGTATTTTCTCTCATTCTATAAGGTTTCACGATTTTTAAAAAGCACATGATGTACCAGTTACTGGACTGGTTACAGGCATTTTCTCCCCAAGAGCAGAAGCAGACAGGCCCTGCTGTCCTCGTGCAGGTCCCAGCCTGGGTGACAGAGTCTGCTCCCCCAGAGCCACTTGGGAATGTGGCCGGAAGCCCTGTCACGGGCCTGGCAAGCCTCAGAAATGCCTTTTTCTGACCTGTGTTGTCCTTCCGGTTAAGTTTCCTTGGGATTAACATTTTGATTAGTTCACGCTGAGACAGGGCTGTGGGCAGCCCAGGGGCAGCCAGTATTTACGGTAAATAAAATCAGACATAAAACTGACTGCAAGTACTGGGAGGGGGCTTGGCCCCTCAGGAGACCACATCCTCTGTAACTGAGCTAGAAGCCCCTGAGAGATTCTAAGGAGGTGAGAGGGGCGCCTTCCAGCAGCTCCAGTGGACCCGGAGGTGCGGGGGAAAGGGACTGTTCACAGGCCACATGAGAATCTCTAGTCCAGCTGGACTCAGCTGCTCTCAGGGCAGGTGAGCTCCGCCCTGGTCTCCGCCCCTGGTGGGGCCCTTGCTGGGCTCTGGGGACTGCATCTGCTGTCACAAGCCAACCAAGCCAAGGTTGGGGCTGGGAAGCCATTTCTCCCGCGCTGCCTGCCACCCGCTCAGTCTATCAGGCACCAAAGTGTCTTCTTTCGGTGGTTAATCTAGTTTACGTAAAGGTGGATGTCTCCTCATGCTGGTTTAGGTCATTTTTATATACATTTGCAGACCTTATGCGTAAATGTTGCTAAGTAGATGCTGAACCCGTGGCTCCTTCCTTGTTTGACACAGAACCTCCTGGTGGAAGACACCGCTGACTTCAGCACAGCCCGAGACGACACGGAGAGAGCGCGCCAGACACCGCCCGCGCTGGGGCAGAGGAAGAGGTACCGCCAGCCTTGCTGTCCCACAGGCCCCTCGGGCGGGGGGCGTTCTCTCTCGCTTGGGGCTCTGCCAAGGGCCCAGAGCTCACTCCAAGGCTGAACACTTTGGAGAGCAGTGGACTCATGTCCGTTAGAACCTGAACCAGGCCTGGGAGCCTGGGACAGGGGTGCTGACAGCCTCACCTCAGGGACGAGGCCTCTGCTCCGCCGTCTCCCTCCCTCCCCCACTTTCTGGATCATTCCTTCACACACAGGCTCAGATCTCTGTCACCTGAAAATAGCACCCTCCCAGTCATGCCCACCAGCTGTCACCTGCTCCTTGCTCTCCACCCCTTCCCTCCGGAGGCAGCCTGGTCTCTGCTCCCTGGGCCACCTCCCCTCCCTTCTCTGCTCAACAGGCTGACCTCCCCCCAGGAGGCTCAGACCCTCTTCCAGCTCCTTCCCCACCGCCTTCCAGAGTCAGGTCCACTCCCTCTTCTGTGCACAGTGGGCTCGCTCCCCTGGCCTCCAGGCACCTGCACCTCCCAGGATCTCCCGAACATCCTCTGAAACCCACTTCAGAGCCCAGTGCCTAGACCCGTCTCACCACCATGGTCTGTGCCATCATCCCACACAGGCCACACCAGGGGTGCCAGTCCTCACCTGCTCCCCACTTTGGTCTCCTGGAGTCATCCCACACTCCTTGACCTGGGTGGACCCGAGTCAGTGGCTGAGTCCTGACAGTCTCTGTCTCCTGCAGCCAGGCGGCCCTTCGTGGGCAGAGCAGCGACGTGCTCCCCGGTGCAGACACGCCTGGCCGGCCCCACAGACCAGAAGCTTCCCTGTCCATCCACGTTGGGAGTTTCAGATAGCACTGCACTGCGACATCCCCGCCAGCACCAATCAGAGCTGGTACCAGGGCAGCTGCTGTCCCAGGGCCTGGCCAGGAGCGGGCATGGGGGCTCTGCACCCTGTGGACTCTGCGTGTGGGTCCGAGGGAGCAGGCTGGTAGGTTGCTGCCTTGTGCGGACACAGACCCCACAGCCTCTGCTTTACGACAGAGGGACGTTTGGTCAGGCCGGGCGAGCGCACTTTCTCCCCGGGCTGTGCAGCATGGCCACAGAGGGTCCTACAGGCACCAGTCAGACGCTGCCCTACGCCACTTCCCCCAGCCCCGTTATGAGAAATGCCCTGGCTCTGCCCTGGCTGCAGGCCGGTGAGTGCACCTGGCCCTCTTCTCCCTGCACTGTTCAGACGTGGCACCTGCATTGAGGCTCCCACAGCTCAGCTCACGATGGGCTGGCCAGGCTGGTGCGGGACACAAAGGGCATCTGTGCTCAGAATGCCCGCGGCCGCTGATGGGAGCCTCGCTTGCGCCGAGCTGATGGTCCTGAGGCCTCGATTCAACCAGAAAAAGGAACCGCGTGCAGAGCTGCTTATGCTGCCCGGCGGGGCCGCCGTTGGTTGAAAGCTGGAATCGGCGTTTCTGACCAGAGCAGCATGTCTCTCTCCAGCTCTGTCAAAGCGGGTTTCCTGAGCGCGTTCTTCACCTTGCCTCCCATGAGGCTTTGCAGTGACTCTGGCTACTTACGGTTGCGATGTCACACGACTCTCACCAGCCCCTTGTCCCGGACACAAGCACTGATGTCAGGAGACGACAGAAGATGTGGACTGAGTATCGGCAGCACCACTCGCCAGAGGGGGGGCCTGCTGCACCAGGCGGCTTTTCCATGGAGCTTGACGCGGGGGATGAGCCCACTCCCGCCTCTGTCCCCTTCGGGCCCTCAGGACTGGCGAGCGCTGGGTGTCGCGGGAGCCCCGCCCTCGGCACAAGCTTCTCAGTTCCTTTCAGGGCAGCTGACCCATCTCCTTGCGGTGCCCTTCATGTCACTTTAAGGGGGTGAAATGTTAGTGTGTTAACTGAAAGCTTTGCTTTTGAGGAGCCAGAGGCCTGGGAGGGGACTTGCCAAGGCCGGAGGGTGGGTGTGCCCTAGGGTCCCCAGAGCGCTGCCGGGCCTCCCAGGGTCTCTGCTGGTTTCCTGCTCCCTCCCTTTTCCTTAAACTCAGGGGTGCGCTGGGGCTGCAGGGGGAGAGCTGGATGGTTTTGTTAAAGAGCAAGTAAAGCGTCTTCACGTCTTGTTTCCACTGTAAGCTGACGCTTCGTACTGGCCTTTGTTCCCAAGTGCACTGCAGGCGCTAAGCGTGGTTTCTATTAAGAAGTATGGTGTTGGGACCCTGTGGCAACAACAGCATGTTTTGACTTTAAGTTCAGACTCCTGGGAAAACTGCCGGACAAAAGTGGCCGTGGTCCGGTTCTCGTCCTTCCAAGGAAACAGCACTGGCCGTGGGCGCGCTGCAGACACAGCTCTTCACTGGGACCTTCTGCCAAGGGGTGGGCAGGAATCCCCATGACCCAGTTAAGCCTCAGACGGTTCCCTCTGGAACAGGCCTGACTGGGGTGTGGGCCCCCCATCTGGGAAGGGGCACGACAGCTCACCTCTGCTCTGTTCTCGACTGTCCCATCCAAAGCAGGGCTGTGACACGTCAATAAAATAGGTAAACGTACTGTGTGTCCTGGAGACTCGCTACGCTTCAGAGGTACGTGAAGCAATGAAATCGACACAAGCTGGGAGGGAGAAAGGTGTCTGCTCCCTCCAGTGCCCACCCCCTCCCTGTCCAGGCACTGACAGCAGCCACTCCCCAGGGC